GTTTGCAGGCTTGCGGATGTCAGTTCTGTCCCTGGGCGGGGACAGATAGTCACAACCAATGCCTAAGCAACCACTCACATTTTGTATTTTAATAAAGTTGTGGCCAAAATTATGCCAAAAACCTTAAACAAAATTTCTGTGTGAAGTGTGATTTATTTGAGGGGTTCTCTTTGGGGACCTCAACACACAATAGAGAAAACCAGAAGAGGGGAGAGTGCTCTTGTGCTCAAATCTTGCTTTGCAGGTTTCCCATGGGTATCTGGTTGGCCACTATGAGAAAAGGATGCTGGACTAGATGGTCTATTGGCATGATGCAGAAAGCTCTTCTTATGTTTTTCTGTTTTTAGATTAGGTGAAGTGGGCGGCAATGACCTCTTGAGAGGTGGTGCCTTGTCTGTGAAGCACTCGCCCTAGGCCGCTTTGAGAGTCACAAACAAGGGCTTGAATCCAACTTAGACATATTCAGAGAAGACTCATTGAAATCACTTGGTGTGACTAACTTAAGCCCATTGATTCCATTCGATCTACTCTTAGCATGACTTACTTCAGGACCTCCAGAGGCATTTGTTCGGGCCACTTTTAATGACTATGTTCTTCCTGTTTTTATCTGATTGGGGTTTTTTTTGGGGGGGAAGCCTATTTGATTATAATTATGGGCTGTTGATTATTTTTTTTACTGACTCTGCTACCACTGCTTTTTAAAAATAATAATAATAAAGGTTTTTATGGATATAATAAATATATAAAAAATAGCAGGGATTACATCAAATCCATAGGTTCCACCCTTATACCCCTAGTGATATCAGGTTGTATTGCTATATAATTGTTCTTTTTTGATCCATACAGTACAAAGGTACATAAAAAGGTACATATTGTCCAGGAGGCCAATTGGAAACTGGCAAATGGACCATTCCAGCCCCGTGATACGATGAGGATTTTATTTATTACCTGTCCTTCACCCTAAAGTCCCAGACCAGGTTACAGCATGAAAAACAAGATTAAAAACAATTTTAAACAACTTTTTTAAATTGACAAAAAGCCCCTATTTCACAGGGTTATTATATCCAAATCTGCAAAGACAATTGTGGCAGTGTGTGTTTAATTTTTGGTTTCGTTGCCATATGAAATCTGTCTGGTTTTTGATGTTCCCTTTAAGACTTTCATATTGTGAGTTTCCTTCTCGGCAAGAGCCAGTTAGCAAGCATTCTAATACTGTAAGTCCATAGACACCCCCTGCAAATCCTTCCATTTTTGAGCAATGGAAAGTCCTGCTGCCACCAGCAAAAATATGAGCAAGTCAGACTTTGGCTCAGGATCACGCATTCCTATTCTCCGAGACCTGCAAAACTCATCTCCAAAAAATCTAACAACTTACATAGACACTTCTTGTTCAAGCAACATAATAGTATGATATAGGATTACAAGTGGGTCAGAGGCAAAAATTAGCACTACGTCAACCCATCCTTTGTAGAAATAAGCTCCTCATTACCTTAGGGCGAAAGTATCACTAGCACGACAAAAAGATCCTTGTGCAGGTTTTTCTTTTCTTTTTCTTTTTCAAACGCCCCAAATTCTCCTTGCACTCCAAGCAAAACAGCAGCCCCTCATAAATATCTCTGCTAGCAGCCAGGCTCCTGGGCTGCCTTCCCTCCCATTGAGTGGCTGTTGGTCCAATTTCGCTCATAAAAATATTATGATAGGAAAGTGTAAAATCAGTTCCAATTTCAGTTTCTCTAATTTGGTGGTTAAGAAAAATAATGATCGGAATGCCGCTTGTTACATTTTAATCTAGATCTCAAAGCTTGCGTCAATGCAGAGCGCGGGGGTCCCCCTCCCATTTCCAATCTTTGGCTCAGATTGATGAAAGCATAAAATAAAGGAGAAGGGGAAAATCAAGGAGAAAACAATAAAAAGTGAGTGATCTTATTATTAAATGTAGCTACCGAATGCTATGTCAAGGAATTATATATACCTGTGTCAGAAATCAGCAGGGGGTCCTTCATATAGGCTCAGTCATATATTTCAGTATTATCTTCACTACTTTTTGAGAATAAAATGTACCATCATGCATGTTTCAAACAATAATTCCAAGGCAGGGTATGTGTGTGATTCCCCATGAATTATCAAAACAGACTTCAGAAAGAATTTGTAACTGTCCAAAGGAGCATGCTGCAATTCCACCCCACCCCTTTAAAATAAGATACATTTTAGAAAATGTATTATTCTTCCCTCAGTCCTCCCCCTAAAATGATTGCAGCAGATTAAAAAGACAGAAGCCCTATCGGTCTTTAAAACTTTTAGCATTTGTTGCTTTCATACGATTTCACAAGCCATTGGGTACTTTGGAAAGTAGTATACAGATATAATGTGACTTTAAAGATGTATATATAATATATATACGGAATTGTTCTAAACTGTTTTTTATATGGAACTGTTTTTAATCGTTCCCCCCCACGCCTTTATTGTTTGGTAGCTGCAATGGTTTCATAGCTATATCTTTTGTTACTCCCACTCACTCTGGGGGTAAACGGTGTTGTTGTTTAGTCGTTTAGTCGTGTCTGACTCTTCGTGACCCCATGGACCAGAGCACGCCAGGCACTCCTGTCTTCCACTGCCTCCCGCAGTTTGGTCAAACTCATGCTGGTAGCTTCAAGAACACTGTGCAACCATCTCGTCCTCTGTTGTCCCCTTCTCCTTGTGCCCTCCATCTTTCCCAACATCAGGGTCTTTTCCAGGGAGTCTTCTCTTCTAATGAGGTGGCCAAAGTATTGGAGCCTTAGCTTCAGGATCTGTCCTTCCAGTGAGCACTCAGGGCTGATTACCTTAAGAATGGATAGGTTTGATCTTCTTGCAGTCCATGGGACTCTCAAGAGTCTCCTCCAGCACCATAATTCAAAAGCATCAATTCTTTGGCGATCAGCCTTCTTTATGGTCCAGCTCTCACTTCCATACATCACTACTGGGAAAACCATAGCTTTAACTATATGGCCCTTTGTTGGCAAAGGTTGGGGTAAACAGTGCGTAAGAAATAAAACAAAATATGCAACATTTAAAAATAAATCCATTAGATCAGGGCTGCACTCTAACAGAGCATGTGAGTGACCATCATGACTTCATCCAGGGAGCCATGCAAAGAAAGCCAAAAACCTGCCAATCAAGTGCTTGGCAGGGAAGCGAGAGTGAGGAGAACTGAGTCCAGCTCCCCGCTCACTTTTCAAGACAGTTTCCTTTACAAAGCCACATGGATGCAGGCACATGCGGCAGCTGTGGGTGTGCATGACTTCCCCACCTGACAAGAGATGGAAAGGGCTGTAGCTCTGGGCTGAAATATCTGATAAGGAGAGACTCCTGCTTCAAGTCTTGGAAAGCATACTGCCAGTCAGGCCAGACAACACTGAGGTAGATGGACCAGTCACCTGACTCGGTATAAGGCAGCTTTCTGCACCCCTGGGATAACAACATGGAAGTCTGATTTTGATGGCCTCTTCAAATGCTCTACCTCAGGGCTGCCAACTTAAATAAAATATTGAGGGGAGGGGCAGGTAAGCCTTGCCCCACATAATTGATCACAAGATGTGGAGCACACATACCATTTGCATAACAATGCCCATCAACTTGGGGGAGGCTGGGTCTGGCCCCCTCAAATATTTTATTGGGAGGGTGAAATGGTCTTGGCCCCTTGGAGTTGGCTCTTATGCTCTACCCCATTTGTGGGCAGAGAAGGGGAGCATCATGTCACCAAATTTCTCAAAGGAAAGTGACATTTTCTCAAGAGCAGGCTTTCCTTATTAGTAGTAGCCAGGGGCAAAGTTGATTTCCCCACACCCAACAAAGGGAAGCAACAACTACTCTGGCTGGATCTAGACACATTTTAAAAAAAAATCAAGAAAACGCATTGTAAAGCTCATAATGGGAAATCGCGTTGCATATTGCTAACTGATATCCTGTGATCATTCCAGATGAGGATTAAAGGGGAAATTATGTGCTGAACTCCAGCTCCCAACACACCTATCAGCAACATCTGGAGGGTCACAGGTTTCCCACCCCAGCCTTAGACTGGGGACCTCTGCACTGTGACAATCTGGATAAAATAACCTTCCTCAAACATTTGCCTGCTAACCAATGGTTGAGGGAGAAATTCAGAATAGCTGGCAAACCTAATTGGAGAAAATAATAATATTGTAAAATAATAATAATAATAATAATAATAATAATAATAATAGGAGAAATTGGCCAAACAACATCAATAAAAATAATAATGTGGAAATATGGATAACTGAATATGGGATTGGAAAAATGAAAAACTGAAAGAAACCAGAGTTGCCCATCACTATGCTAGGCTCCCCCTCCTTTTGTTTACAGATGTCATTCCAAGTCCTTTCCATAGCTTAAACATTCTCTATACGATAACATGCCTCCTGACACATCTTCCTTCACACTCTGCTGCCTTCCATTCTGGCAGTTGTATAATTGTGACTCCTGGCTGACTACCCTATTCCTCAGTGCTCATCCTTACTGTTCAATGGTCCCTTTCTTATGGAAGCTCTAGATTTCTGTTCTTGATGAAAGGAATGGCAACCCTTTGGACTCTGGCTCCTGTTAGTCCCAGTCTGCATGACCAACAGTCAGGCATGATGGGAATTGTTGTCCAATAATATCTGGAATACCACAGGTTCTCTACCTCTGCTTTACAAGGTACTCAGAAAACGTTCCACCAAAAGCTGCAAAATTAAGCATTATGCTTCCACCTCACCTTAAAGTCAATGGATCTCTAGGTGGCTGAATTTTTCTGCTAAAGTAAAGGGAACTTCAAGGTGCTTAATTATGATGGGGTTGCGTTCATGCTTGCGCAATTTCCTCCTTAGCCATTCCTTCAGTTGATCCAAGTTTTATCTCTCATACTGCCTGTTATTCTGAACTAAATGTATGCTGGCAAGGAAAGAATGGGAAAAGACCCCTATTAATATGATGAAATGAGTGAAGAGAGGAAAATGAAAATACCTTAAAGTAGACAGTTGTGAAGATTGGGTTTTTGTTGGGTTTTTCCTCCTCCCAAATTTCAAGTACCTTTGTTCAAATCAAAATGCAGGTGCAACCGAAATTTCTTCATTGTCTGTGAATTCCATCATTAAAAGTTATTCCATCTGACAACGAGTTGTATCTTTCTGCCAGTCAGTTAAGCAATTTGAAAACAATAAACAAAAAAGGAAGAGAATGAAACAAAAGGCAAATGTTCCCACCTGCTGATCTGATATTTTAATTCTAAAGGGAAATTACCAGTTCTTCACCTGTCAAACTGACTCACAGAACAAATGCAGAAGAACAAATATTCATGACATAATCACAACACTGTTGCCTCTGATTTATTTATTACGAAGCTTTTTAGTAACGACTGTCAAACGAACCCAGCTTTTCTTGTTTACATCTCTGAAGAGTAATAAACAAGACACAATTAAAGCCTAATTATTTCCACCTGGTGAACTCTATCTTGAGAAGTTTTTTGATTAATTAACAGTAGGCGTCTCTCATCATTATTTGCTGGAAGAGGGGGGAAAATAACAATTTAAACCAAATTAACATTAGTCTGTAGTGAGGTCTTGGTCCATTTTCTGGGTCATTGCCACTTAACTCATTAGAGAAATAATTGGAAAATGCAACCACTGTTAATCAATATTGCAATATGATTTCCATTACAATGTTGATAGCAATTAGGCAGAAGGATGGGAATCAATTCCAAAGGAGGAAAAGTATGCTTACTGTTTTTAAATTTTATTTGCTCATGAAAAGCATTGCAACTTTATTGAATAGGACAGAACAGGAAATGGAGCCCTTCTCTTCTTTCATAATCATTTTCTGAGAAGGGCATTGGGGGTTTTAAAACATTTATTGGACATATTCTGAAGTAAGCATGTAGAAGACCAAGCTACAAACTACCTGTGACAAAAATGTTCTTAAGGACAAGAAACTGTATTTTTCAGCATAATGTAATATAACATTTAAGCATAGCATTTCTTAAGCTTATCCACATGATTTCCTAACAATAAACCTGGCTTGTTCCCCTACCCTTACCAGCTTGCCGTATTATTGTTCCTCTATACGAGTCCTTGCCAACCCTGGTGTCATCCTGAGGTTTTGAACTACAACTCCCATCAGCCCCAGCCAGACATTCTTATTTAGACAAGCCTACCCAGATGCTTAGAAAATTGGTATGACGTTTAATTTGTTTTAGTCTATTTTATTGCAGTTTTAACCTTCTCTGTGTTTTAAATTATAGTTGTAAATTTTTAGAGAGTATTTTATTGTATTATCTTCTTTGTAAACTGTGTTGGGGTTTTTTCTACAATCAAGCAGTACATAATTTTAATGAAATAAATAAAATAAATAGTTCAGACCATCTGGAAGGCACCACGCTGGAGAAAGCTGCTCCATGCCCATCCATATGCCAACTATTATCTTTCTGTTATTGACAAATAGGTAGGTTGAATCTTTGTGTGAGAACCGAGGCATTTCCAAATGCCTAAAACTAGGAGAGTATGATTTCCCCCCGTTGTGTGTCCTGCCAATATCTGACATGGCTTCCAGGTACGCAAGACAGAGCTTTCTCTCTTGCAGTCTCCAGGCTTTGGATGCTTAGTTCCCTGAGGGATCCAGGTGTCAGACCGAAGACTTCTTGTAGGCCTTTTGCCGTATTGGCTGCTTCAGTTGTTGTCACTGTGGAAGTTTGACCTGATCTTCTCTGCTGATTTTATTTGACTGTTAATAGCTGCTGCTTTGTGTCAAGTCAAACACAAACTAAAACAGCAGCATATGGATGGTGGCTAACAGATTGAGATTGAATCCTGACAAGACAGAAGTACTGTTTTGGGGAGACAGGAGGTGGGTGGGTGTGGAGGACTCCCTGGTGCTGAATGGGGTAACTGTGCCCCTGAAGGACCAGGTGTGCAGCCTGGGAGTCGTTCTGGACTCACAGCTGTCCATGGAGGCACAGGTCAATTCTGTGTCCAGGGCAGCTGTTTACCAGCTCCATCTGGTACACAGGCTGAGACCCTATCTGCCTGCGGGCTGCCTTGCCAGAGTGGTGCATGCTCTGGTTATCTCTCACTTGGACTACTGCAATGTGCTTTATGTGGGGTTACCTTTGAAGGTGACCCGGAAACTGCAACTAATCCAGAATGTGGCAGCTAGACTGGTGACTGGGAGCGGCCGCCGAGACCACATAACACCGGTCTTGAAAGACCTACATTGGCTCCCCGTACGTTTCCAAGCACAATTCAAAGTGTTGGTGCTGACCTTTAAAGCCCTAAATGACCTCAGTCCAGTATATCTGAAGGAGAGTCTCCACCCCCATCATTCTACCCGAACACTGAGGTCCAGCGCCGAGGGCCTTCTGGCGGTTCCCTCACTGCGAGAAGCCAAGTTACAGGGAACCAGGCAGAGGGCCTTCTCGGTAGTGGCACCCACCCTGTGGAAAGCCCTCCCACCAGATGTCAAACAACTACCAGACTTTTAGAAGACATCTGAAGGCAGCCCTGTTTAGGGAAGCTTTTAATGTTTGATACATTACTGTATTTTAATATTTTGTTGGAAGCCGCCCAGAGTGGCTGGGGAAGCCCAGTCAGGTGGGGTATAAATAATAAATTATTATTATTATAGACATTTTTGATCTGTGGTAAAGCATCCTGGGTACCTCATATTGAGACGGAAAAGCAAGCAGTGGAGGTAGATGCCAATTGAGACTGGTAGGGTACAAGGCACGGAGGCCAACACTAGGTGGAGCCAGAGCAAAGGATAGGCAAAGCCAATTTGGGGTTTGTTCACCTCCTCCCCCTCCCCACTCAGTTCTAAAAGGGCAAGTGTGATATTAAAGAAGAGGGAGATGACAGTGCCTGCTTCTCCTTGAAATGGTTGTAAGTAAAGAGAGGGCAAGTGGGGGCAGGCTTAGCTTGGTGAAACACTGCATTCTAGTGGACCAACCTCAGACTGAAGCAAAGTTCAAGTAAGCCAGTACAAGGCCTAGCTCAAGGCAATTTGCTGCCTGAGGAAGACAAGATGGCATTCACACCCTGGACTTGAATGTTACTTCAGTTCCACCACAAGGACAACATCCTCCATCACACCTGAGACTGGCTGGATGGCTAAAGGATCACAAGGCATGGCACATAGACCTATCTCATCCAACACCTTCCTGAAGCTGTCTACACACACACCCCCTTTAGTATCTGCTGCCCGTGGTTGCCTTACAAAGAACTATTCATATTCATCTGAAGGAAGGCTGGCCCCCATATCAGTCTGTCCATGCACTGGAGTCATTTATGGAGTTTCTCTGCTGGCTCCAGTTGCTGCCTGAAGTCATTGAGGAGAGGCCTCTGGAATGAGGGGAGGGGGCGCCTGGTGTGCACATAAGAGGATAGGAAGATGCCTTATAGAGCACTGTCTCAAAAAGCTATGCTTTAAAAAAAAAGGAGTGTGCATTTTCATCTGGGTTAATAGGAACACAGGAAGCTGCTGTGCACTGAATCAGACCAATATAGTCCAACTAACTCAATATTGTCTACTCTGACTGGCAGTACCTCTCCAGGGTTTCTGACAGGAAAATTTCCCAAACTTACCTGGAGATGTCAAGAATTGAACCCAGGCAAAGCAGATGTTGTACCACTACTCTAGGTCCCTTCCTGGTGTACTCACATATTGTTGATGCCTGTTGAAGACCTTTTTAAAAAAATCCCAGGCTTTTTAACTGCTGTAATGTTTTATGTTGCTCTTGACTTATAACTCTGGCAATGTGTTTACATTAGCTGTTTTATGCAGTTCAGCTGTCATTTTCATTTTGTACTGTATTGTTTATAGTTTTATGCTTAGTTGGTTAGCTGCCTTGGAAATAAGTATTTGAAGGACAGGGCTTAATATATTTACCAATTTCAGTTTGTTTCAATGCCCATTTCTACTTATCTTGGGTGACGTTTTGGATTGCTTTCTGGAAACTGGCCATGACTGGTGGGAGTTGTAGTTCAGCAACATTGGGGGGGGCAAAAGTTCCTCAGCCCTTCTTTAGATATTAACTGTGTACATCATTTCAATTCAAAATGTGGCCGGCCAGCCCTGCTGTGTTTAGTGACCCTTTTGCTCATTCAGCTGAGTGGGAACTTGGACCTCTGTCCCAAAGCACAGAAGCAAAATGCAAGCCCTAGTTCACTGTGCCAATTCCTCAGGACCCTTTTGGAAGTGTTCCAGTTGAAACACACACACACACACACACACACACACACACAAACAATAACATAAATCCTAATGCTATTAATTCTTTTTTTCTTTTTTTAAGTGTTCTCCTTCATGGTGTCTACAAGGTCAGAAAATGTGGTGGTCTGAAAACAAAATGAATAGCAGTTCTCAATAAAGTCAAGTTTAATACCCATGGAATAAAATTACAGAAATGTTGTGTGTACCACTGCAGTTGAATAAACATCCATCTGAGGAGAGCGAGAGATGCTGGTTCATGAAAATGGCATGCTTGTTCTGTCATTTTGATGTATAATACATAATATCATTTGGAGGAGCAGCAAGACTGGGGAGTGGACCCTTTATATCATCACCTGGAGCCATTTCAGTCAAAATTGTGGCCTAGCTTATCGACCAAACTGACCTTGTCTACCTTAGTGCAGAGATAGCCTTTGTGGTGCTCTCCACACCATAGCTCTCAAGAGTCCCAAGTAAATTCAGGGATGATGGTAGTTGTGGTCCAACAACATCTGGAGGGCTATCCATCTTGGCTATCCCCACCCTGATGGATAATTTGTACCAGAAATGGACAGGGAACTGCAACCCTGTTGATTCTCCTGGAGCTTTCAGTGGCATATGACATTGCATCCTTCTATTTCACAGCAGCAAGGCTGGAGGCCATGGCATTTAGGTGAATCCATTCAGTCTAGGAGAAGACAAGGAGAGCATAGTTTCAGAAGGTGATGCAGAGAGACTCCTGGTCTTCTGGGATACTGTAGGGATTTCCATCCTACCCCCTCCATTTCTGTTTTAGCATCAGTAACGTTTGAATGCTAATTCTTTTCAGAATTCACAGTAGGTGCTTGTAAAAAGTGTATTTGCATAACATCTGGAACATATAGTCATCTCCCACCTCAAAACTACTTCATGTACCATAACATTTGATTTGTAGAGCTATGGCCTGGTCCCTTTCTTCTCCTCCCTCCACCCCACCCGCAAGCGCTGCTCTTGACATGCAGCAATCCAGATGTGATTACTCAGTGAGCTCAGGTTTATTAAAACTCTATGATGGTTAGGTACCCCCAAAAAAGGCAACCTAGAGGGTGAGGTCATCACTGCACACAAAAATGAAGCACAGACACACTGCAGATGTTAAATCGTTCATATACATTTTAAAGTGTAAGGGGGTGGGGAGAACATCAATCTTTTGCCATCTGGGTCCATGACTGGTCTGTGATATTTTAAGGGATATGTTCATGTGTCTAGGCTGGAATCAGAATCAGCTGTTCACTGCTTTGCCCGATGCAATCCTAGCATGCCAGAGGCTGTTTGTGGAAGTATAACGTCTTGATAACATGGCAAATGTGATCAATATGGGACAAATTTGGTGACAAGTCCTGGTTGGCATAAAGCTGCCTGTACTTGCTGATTAATTATGTCAGAATCTGCCATGTTGTATGGATAGCCAGAATGTTGACTTCAAAGAAAAGACAAGACCAACATGGTCAAGAGATAAAGTATAGCTGGCCAACTGGTAGAGAAAGTATCGAGGATCCATTTCCTGGATCTAGCCTGTATTCTGAAGGAAATCTATGTTGGCACATGCTTTTCCAGATCTAAAAATGACTAACAAAAATACATGAGAACCGGAAAGGAGAACCAGGTAAATGTCTTGACTGGATGTATGGGATGTTGCATGAAGCCTCACAGCTTGCTTGAGGTGTGAGCCCTCGGGGTGAACTGAAGTGAACAAGAGGTGTTCACTTGCTTGAGGTGTGAACCCTCGGGGTGAACAAGAGCACAAAGGATCTCAGCCAAAAGACTACAGACCTTGCAGCCAAGCCTAAACAGAAGAAGCTGGAGGAGATGGTTGGAGATAACCTGGGGCTTGTTAGGCACACTCCCAGTCCATAGTGCTGACACTGATCACCCATTTGGGTTATATCAAGGGTGAGCTCACTACCCTGTTTTGCTTTTGATTCATGGGTATTTAGGGGTGCTCCCTGGTAAGAGCAAGGAGCACTAGGGGTGTGGGACATGTGTAATTCTTCCTGGGGCAGGAATAATTATGGGTGTTCCCTGGTGACAGCAGGGAGCTCTATCGGTGGGGAGTGTGTTATTCTGCTCTACCTTTGGGTGATCTTAAGTTGGAGCAATAGCGGCAGAAGTGAGAGTGCTGCTACCTGTTAATAGATGCATGTGGGTGGGGCTGGTTGTCTCTGCTATATTTCTATATTTTGGTCTGTTACTAATTATTACGGTCCCTACATGTTGAGAGTCCCATGGACTGCAAGAAGATCAAACCTATCCATTCTTAAGGAAATCAGCCCTGAGTGCTCACTGGAAGGACAGATCCTGAAGATGAGGCTCCAATACTTTGGCCACCTCATGAGAAGAGAAGATTCCCTGGAAAAGACCCTGATGTTGGGAAAGATGGAGGGCACAAGGAGAAGGGGACGACAGAGGACAAGATGGCTGGACAGTGTTCTCGAAGCTACCAGCATGAGTTTGACCAAACTGCGGGAGGCAGTGGAAGACAGGAGTGCCTGGCGTGCTCTGGTCCATAGGGTCACGAAGAGTCGGACACGACTAAACGACTAAACAACAACAACGACAACACATGTTAGCTGTTTCTCATTTACATTGATTTTTAGAGGTGATCTTATCTAAGTGTGGATTATTTATTTCTATTTTTTTAATTTACAATGTTATGCTGTTGCGAACTGCTCAGAGATTTGAAATATGTCAACAAAAATACATTTTTTGGGGGGAGGGGATTTGAAATATGGAGTGGTATATCCATAATCTAAATAAAATAATTTGTAAATAAAGCATCTCATTACTCCTTAGAATTTTAGAGCTATGAGCCTCCACATTTTGTTTAATTTTTCCTGAAAGTTCCCATCAGAGAGTAGCGATGTTTCAATATGGCCATGACAGAAGTGTCTGTGCTAATGCATTCCTTCTATGTGAAAGTGACTGCCGATGTCTTCACATATCATTGCCATACTCAAGGTGCTCTAGGCATTATTGTGAAAACAGGAAAGCACCAAAATATACTAAAGGTTTTCCTTCTGCTGGCAAAAAAATCCATTAAAACTCATCCAGAGACTACATGCACATCTGGGGCTTTCCACTATCAGCTTTGGAAAAGCTTGCGCTTGAAATTCTTTGCTTCCCATAGCTGACAATCAAGGTTGGATCATTGCCAAGTTGCTTACATCACCAAAGTATCTTCAGCTGAATAAAGATGTATTTTTTAAAAAAAGAAGAAGAAAGAAACTACATAAGGGACAAATAACTGGTGGTTCAGGAAAACAGTCAAAGTTGGCCTCCAGGTTGGCAGGGCAAATTTGCATGGTAGCCCAAATTTTTAGGTCTTTATGTGCATATGCACTTATCTTAGATTTTAATCTTTAAACTGTTGCTTTACGCTGCTTTACATGTACATTTTATTCTTGTGAAAGCTGTCCCAGTTGTGCTTTTCGAGCTGGTCTTTGACTGTAATAAATTATGATGGCGGTGGTGATTCAGTCAAGTTCATACATGATTCCCATAAGACTCTAGGACTGTACTGAATATTCACCTGTGTCATGTGTTTTTCCCCCCTGGAGACTCAAATTGTTCCAACCTTTTACCTCTTTTGCTGTCAGTTTTTCCACTCTGCTACTGCTCCGTGCTAGGATGGGAGAGGAATTCAGTTCAGTTCACTTGTAAAGGCAAACCTATCTAATTCACACTTTCTGCAACTAATTGAAAACTGAAAGACACCCGTGCTTTGAAAGCCCTACTTCTATAAATTTTCCAGTGCAGTTCTCTAGGAAAGTAACATGAACAAAACTGTATATACTGGAGTAAAGGGTGTGTCAAAATGCATATATTGCTGGAAATGTGTGTGGTTTTCTCAAACAATGAGTTGACTGGAATAACAGCCAGAAAAGCTGTTTAACAGCATAGAAAGTGTGTATGTGTCATCCATCTACTTCTTCAATTATTTATTTATTAAATATGTCTGCCACTTTGTCTTGCCCAGGGAAACCCAAAGTGACTTACAACCAAACACTAATTTAATCACATAGATAATTTTCTATTTCCTTTATGCGGTATGTATGTGATTTTTTTATTTTTATTTTTTTGAGATCATAAATTTTAACTCACCCTCCATATTCAATCCATCTGGAGGAAAAGTTGAATAAAAAAGGGAAAAGAAATGTAGGTTTATGCATTATATTTATGGCTAAAGATGAGTGGATTTTTAAAAATGGCAGCCAACAATATTCTATAAAGCACTGTGCTTTCTGCCCAAGACAAACTAAGGATAGGCATGTTTATTCCCCCCCCACACACACCACCATGATAAGGTTCTTGCAAAGCGGTATAATTTTCACATTGTGAACATCTCTCTATGCACTCTCTATTCCACGATGATAGCTGACAGAGGCGTTGAGTAGTGCCCAACATGATTGCACATGTGCCTGTCACATCGGGAGCAGGCTGAGCACAGAGTCCGGCTGTGTGGCACAGTGTTGCACTTGGCCATTGGCGGAGGAAGGGGGTGGGGGGCTGTGGTCCACCTCAGGTGTCATCACTGAGGGGTATGTGTGTGACAAAATGAGTTTTATAAAAAAAATGGGCTCACGAAACTTTTTAGGAGTGATGTGGTGGCTTAGGTGCCTGCAGGTTCCGTGCTGCCTGAAACAGCAGCATGGGACTTGCATCTGCCTACTGCCTCTCCCTCAGCAGCTCTACAGCTGAGGGGGAGGTGGCGGAGAGGCTCCAAGCATCGGAGAGTCTTGCCCCGCCCCATGGGCAGATCGCCCCGCCCCTGACTGCAGGACACGCCCCGGAACCGGGCACCCCAGCAGCTAGCTACGCCACTGTACTTGGCTCCTGGCTCGCTGGCCTCGCCACTGCTGGCCCTGAAGGAAGTCAGCTAGGCAGAAGGAATGGATGGGGCTGCGGCATGATGGGACTTGTAATCCCTGCTCATACCTCTCCGGAAGCTGGAGCAGAAGATATAGCAGAGGCGGTGCCCCGTTGGGAGACAGTGCAGCGGCAGGGGTGAGAAGGGGAGCCATCCTTTCGCCCCTGGGATGTTCCAGACAGTCCTGGCCACCCCGTAATGAGAAAGGCACCGGGTGAATGGCTGAGAGATCGTGCTTGGCCTCCTCTGCTCCCTCAAGCTCAGCCCCATCCCAACAGACTTTGAGGGGCCTGAAGACTCCTCAGTCCTATAGAGTTAGTGCATATAATACCTGAGAATTTCAATAAAACATAATAAATCTTAGGTATCAAAGCACGAAGGTGGAAAGTACTGAAGAATGAATTTCTATCTCCTATGCAGCTAGGAAAAACATATGGTGCTTTCTAGAAAACACGATGGCATTGATATCAAACTCTGTCAGGCTATTCTTCACCCTTTCACATTTTGCTGTCTTAAGAGTTAAGGGGTTGGGTGTGTGTGCTAAGGAGATAGCCCATCCGAAAGAACACCTGAGAAAAGACTGAAGCCCGACAAAGAAAATGTTGGCTCAAAAGTTAGAAGCATGGCGTATGTGACACATGCCTTGCCCTCAGTGAATTACAGGCAGCACAGCCTGATCTGGGATTAAGAACAAGGGACACTCATCCATGTGCATGTAAGCTAAACACTTGTGAGGAATGACATTTGGGATTTTTATGAAATCATATAGAATCCTGAGTAATTTTGATGCAGGGTAGGATTTTCTATAAAATTTGTCAGCTGCTAAAGAAGGGGAAGAGATGGTTGACGACAAAATTACTTAGCCCTGCTCTGCGTATCTTCGGCTTAAGGTTGTCATAGAACAGACTTATGTACACTTCAGCCTTTGGATGTTCCAAAAAACATCCAAAAAAACGTTGTTTTAAAACTCATCTCAAAAGAATCAGAGCAGGATTGGAATCAGTCATGAGATAAAGCAGAACTGGATACAGAAGAGAAGCAAAATACTGGATCCAGGCATGTGACTGAAAAAGGGAAACATTCCCAAAAGATAATAATAATTATTTATACCCCACCCATCTGGCTGAGTTTCCTCAGCCACTCTGGGCGGCTCCCAATTGAGTTAAAAACAATACAGCAATAAATATTAAAAACTTCCCTAAACAGGGCTGCCTTCAGATGTCTTTTAAAAATAGGATAGCTGTTTATTTCCTTGGCATCTGAAGGGAGGGTGTTCCACAGGGCGGGCACCACCAGCAAGAAGGTGGTGGTACCCTGTAATCTCTCTTCTCGCAATGAGGGAACCGCCAGAAGGCCCTCGGCGCTGGATCTCAGTGTCCGAGCTGAACGATGGGGGTGGAAATGAATAAGAAGAGTCCTGCTGGATCTGGCCAAAGGGTCATCTAGACCAGCATACTGTTCTCAGAGAGACGGTCAATATGACTGTTGGAAGCTCACAGACAGAAACTGAGCACAATAGCAGGCCAGGTTTGCCTAAGTGCTTATGGATAGTCAGGCCAGATTAGGGAGAAACTTCTAAAGAATACTCCAACAATATACTGTTGGCTAGGTTTTAATCTTGTGGGCAGGGCCCACAGTTTGGAAGAACTAGTAACTTTAGAAGTTTCCTAAAGGAAAAGTTGTAGGTCACCATGTTGGCCCTTTAATGAAAGAATAATGCAGTCAATATGTTTGTATACTTACTATCTATTCTATATTTCAAAATGAAATTATTATTTTTAAACACAAGAAATAATAATAATAATATGTCAGGTAGCTATTAAGACAAACAACTCAAAATGTGCACTACAAATAAAATATGTGCAGTGTGCATAGAAATTCATTCATATTTTTTTCAAACTATAGTCTGACCCCCAACAGTGTCTGAGGAACAGTGAACCAGTCCCCTGTTTAAAAAGTTTGAGGACCCCTGCCTTCGGATCATCTAGTCCAATCCCTGCAATGCAGGATGCAAACACACAACCTTGAGATTAGGAGTCTCCTGCTGAGCTATCCTCAGAGAGAGAGAGAGAGAGAATGCTTAATGCACACACACACAAAACCCACCCTGCTCAGAATTCCTTTCCCAACAGATGTTGGTGCCAGTGTTTACATACTCTCAGCTGTTTTCGCTCCCCCTCTCCCTGCACCTCTCCTCTTGCAGCAACACAGTCACACACACAGTCGGGACCAGCAACCCCCTTTACCAGCCTACAAGATTCCTTGTTGATGTTTCTTTCCAACTGCATTGCCTCCTCCCTCCCCCGCCTCCTCATTCTCCCCCCACTCCCCAGCCAAGGGAAGTGACCTCTAAACCCTGGAAAAATGGGGGGGGGGCAGAAAACCCCCCAAAAGTCCTGGAAATTCCTGACATCTCTTAAAATTCAAAAACTCCCCTCCGGACGCCATTTTATATGTTCGATTTCCTGGCATGTTTGGAATTTGACAGACGTATGGCAAGCCTATAGTTGGGACAGTGTGGTCAGCACACATAAAACAATCACTTTCTTATACAGAGAGATTTGTGTCTGGCCTGCGTGTCTAGTACACAAGTCCCTTGCACTGTAACCATAATAATCACTCAGTGTGAACACGAGAAGCGGTGACGTGGTCAGATGTAGAGCAGCTCCTGAGTTCTAATCAATTCCACGTGGTCTAAAAATATATAGGGTGACAGATTCCGCATTCCTCGCTACATGGTACATCTGCTAGAGGGGTCAGAAATCTCTTGCTTCCTTTTGCAAGGGGTTCTGGGTGGCTGGATGCAATGGGAACAGGACTTTAATCCCAAACAAAGGAGTTGAAGAGTGAGGCAAGACCAGACCATAACCTCAAATTATAAATGATTAACTTCTTCCTTGTCATGCAGGCATATAGTTTTGTTCATTTTATGCCACTTTGGGGATTTACCTGAAACCAAGAGCTAGGCAGCAATGTGTTTGATGAATTTCTCCTTTCCTTTGTTTAAGGAGCCAAACATTAGTTTACTTATTGTATCTTACTTTCTTATTTCAGGGATGTGGGTAGTGCTGTGGGTTAAACCACAGAGCCTAAGGCTTGCCGATCAGAAGGTCGGCGGTTCAAATCCCTGCGACGGGGTGAACTCCCGTAGCTCGGTTCCTGCTCCTGCCAACCTAGCAGTTCAAAAACATGAAGTGCAAGTAGATAAATAGGGAAGGTAAATGGCGTTTTCGTGCGCTGCTCTGGTTTGCCAGAAGCGGCTTAGTCATGCTGGCCACATGACCTGGAAGCTGTACGCCAGCTCCCTCGGCCTATAGAGCGAGATGAGCACCGCAACCCCAGAGTCGTCCACGACTGGACCTAACGATCAGGGGTCCTTTTACCTTTACCTTCTTATTTAGTTCTACTCCCATATCCATCATCCCTCTTCATTCATGGTCGATTCCATTCCATATTATGGAATAGGGAAGAGCAAAAGAAAAAAAGTATTTATTTTATTTTCTCCTTCTCTTCAGGTCGGTTCAGTTGCTCCCCCACCTCGCCCCACAATCATTTGCCCGACCAGAATAAATTCACAGTCAAATGTGTAACAGAATTAAAATGTGGGAAAATAGAGAAGCTGTTCTGTAAATTCTATCAGCATGACTAGATTGGAACAGTAATTGAGTTGGACAAGTAGGTCTGGAATCCATACACAATAAGGATGTTTTGTCAAACTGCAGGCTAAACTCTGGATATACTTGAAGACATTTCTTTCTTTTTACAAAAGGAAACAGGATATTATGTGGGGAAACTTTTTCAGCCTGAGGACTGCATTCCATCATGGCCAATCTTCCGGGGGCTGTATGCTGGCGGCAGGCTGGACCTGAGACAAAAAAAAGGGGGGATGTGAGTCTTACCTTTTTACAATGGACTAGATTTCACCCATCCAGAAGTTTGAGATTGCAACAGCATCCTTACCACCACCACCCTGCGCATCATTCTCCATACAGTGGTACCTCAGGTTAAGAACTTAATTCCTTCTGGAGGTCCGTTCTTAACCTGAAACTGTTCTTAACCTGAGGTACCACTTTAGCTAATGGGGCCTCCCGCTGTCACCGCGCCGCCGCTGCGCGATTTCTGTTCTCATTCTGATGCAAAGTTCTTACTATTTCTGGGTTAGCGGAGTCTGTAACCTGGGGCGTATGTAACCCAAGGTACCACTGTACAGGCAAACCAGAAGCATTATCAAAATTCAAGGGTGTAAGCACTGGGGAGGCTGTAGAGAAGGGACAGTGAAGGATTTGTTCCGGGGAGAGAGAGATGTATGTTGGCCTGGGGGTGGTCCGAGCCTTTTTTAAAAAATAATATGATTTTCAGGTTTATACATTTCAATAATTTTACAGTCATTTTAACATTTCAAAGCTTGACTTCCTTCCCCCTCTTTCTGCAGTTCCTTTCATTTATTTTTTTAATATCTTCTGCATATTCAAATTAACTTAATTTGTTCATTTATTCATCTACCTTAAATATATATTCTTATGAAACTTCAGGTTTTTACAATAATCCTGCCAATGTTCTTATCTGTTTTTATTTTATCTGTAAATTTTCAATAAACCATTTCCATTCTTTTATAAAAAGTTTGTTATCTTGATTTCTTATTTTTCCAGTAAATTTCGCCATTTCTGCATATTCCATAAGTTTTTATATCCATTCTTCCTTTGCTGGGACTTCTACTTCTTTCCAATTTTGGACAGGTAACATTCTTGCCACTGTAATAGCATACATGAATAGGTTTCTATACAGTTTGGGTAGTTCTGCCCCTATAATTCCCAAAAGAAAAACTTCTGGGTTATTTTTTTACAAACGTTATTTTAAACATCCTTTTCAATTCATTATATATCATTTCCCAGTAAGCTTCCACCTCACTACAAGACCAAGGAGGTGGTCCTAAACCTGGGACAATCTCAAGGGCTGGAGAAAGAGGCCTGGAGGGCCTGAGGCTGGACGATTCAGGACAGATAAAAGGATGTACTTTTCCACAAAGCACATAGTTAAACTATGGCACTCACTCCCATGTCAGGCGGTGATGGCCATCAACTCGGATGCCCTTAAAAGAGGACTGGATCAATTCATAAAGGGTGAGGCTGTCAATGGCTGCTAGCCATGGTGGCTCTGCTCTACTTCCATAGTCAGAGGTAGCAATGTTTCTGAATACCAGTTGCTGGAAGGGAGGGAAGAGTATTCCTGCACTTGGGTCCTTTTGTGGGCTTCCCATAGGCACCTGGTTGGCCATTGTGAGAAAAGGATGCTGAACTAGATGGGCCATTATCCTGATCCTGCAGGCTCGTCTTACGTATGTCTTTATGCCCTAAGAATGGTTGGGTATGTCAACTTCAGCTTCTCATTTTTCCAACCTTAAATCCAGTCTACCACAATTCTACCTCATTGCTTGTGTGTGTGTGTGTGTTTTGCGTGTCGACGTCTCCAAGCCACCCCCCAATAATTCACACATCACACATCAATTTTGGTTTGGGTTTTTGGCAAGATTTTGGCCACAACTTTATTTAAATACACACAAGTGAGTGGTTGCTTAGGCATTGGTTCCAACTATCTGTCCTTGCCCAGGGACAGAACTGACTTCCGGATTCCAGCGGAAGCCAGTGAGGGAAACAATTTTGGGGAGAAAATGAAGCTGGACCTCAGTCCCTCACTTCTCACCCTCATGCTCCTGGTGGCTTGCACGGCCCAAGTCCGATGCCAGGGACAAGGACGAAAAGAATGGCAAGCCCCTGGATTCCTTTAATGGAATTCCCTTTCCGCACCACCATTGGAGGGGTAGGCACTTACCCCTCCACCAACCAATTTGAACCAATGCCTAACCGCCAACCTTACAAGTTGTGATGATTTGCTACGCAGTAGGCAAAAACCAAATGGCACCAGCCAATCAGCCAAATGGACAAAATTCCTACCAGGCCCCTGCCTCAAAGCAGACGACCCCATGATAGGCATAGCAAGGTCAAGCAAACAGCCCCCCCCAATACAGGGAGGGTGGGCGGGTGATCCGGTGCAAGCAGCCAAGAAGACGCCCAAAGTTGGGCGTCCAATATTTAAAACCTCTGATCCCTCCTTCAAAATTGGCAACAAGCAATTCTCCCCAGCGACCCCATTAACAAATTCACTGCCTGGGTCACTCCGCAAATCCGCCCAGCAACACTGGGGTGGCTTGTATCCCCCACCACAACACGTGCTCTCTGCTAGGGAGAACACGTTTTGTTAAAAGTCTTCATGAAAATTTGCCAGTATTTTTACGCACATTTCTCCCAATAGGTACATTTTTGCAAGGAAATTTCCCCAATGTAACACATTTTTGAATGAGATGTTCACTTAAGCATTGTTGTTGATGGTGATGATATTATATTTATTACTTGTCCTTCACCAGCAGACCCCAGAGCTGGTTTCAGCAATAATAAATTCAGCATTAAAAACAGTTAAAACAAATGACTCTCAGTGGAATAGGGAAAACACACCTCAGGTGTCAAAAGGCCAGGGTAATTTTCTTGCACATTACAACATAATTATCTTCTACAAGTGCATTTTACCTTGAATGAATCCATAATTTCAAATGTGAATATATGTCCCTATAAGAATTTGATTTATCATAATGCTGTGAAACATTTCTCAGCAGGCTAAATGTAGCAAAATACACATTTTGAGCCCCAAACTCCCACAGTGAAATTCATATTTCGAGAAAAATTATGCATTAAACCATGTATTAAAGTATGCACTTAAATAATATTTTTGTTTTGTTGAAGATTAATGCAGAACAGTGATGGATTTTGGGGTGCAAACAATTGTTATTGATTCTCTTATTGCAAATGTATTAAAGAAAAAGAAAAACATGGGGAACATATGAAAAAAGAAAGAGAAAACACAAGAAAAACCCTGCCAGCTCACATACATAATACAATAACCATCAACACATACATCTTGGTTTACACATAGAGTTCAATCTATGCCATCTGGATGTCAAAACAGGTATTCAAACAAAGCTGATGTTTCTAAAAAAGTGTATTCAAAATGATGTTTCTAAAAAAAGTGTATTCAAATGTAGCAAGGGTGTTAAGGTCCTCAGACCATTACATAATAGATAATGGGTGTTGATCCTTCCAGGCTCAATGTTTAAGTCTCCTGGCAACTGGAAAGGCTTGCAAAATCCATTTTTTATGCCCGCCCCTTAATCCCCATAGTACAAGAACATAATCTAAAAGTCATTCTGGCTAGAAGTGATTGAGGCTGCAATCCTTACTCAACCTAACATGGGCATCTGTCTGTTTTGCAAAACAATGGAAGAGTGTGCCATTGGCGGTAAAGACAAACCATTGGAGAGTTGTGGTGCCATTTTTTTATTATGATTGTGGTTGAGGAAGATGAAGGCCTGCAGGAGCAACCCAATCAGGCCCCAGGAGGAAGCTTATCAGCCTATTAGGTCAGGACGATCCTAGAATGCAACAACCTGATTGGCCTGCAAGTGCAGCCCAATCAGGCTCCAGATGGGAAGCAGTCAGCCAATCACACGGGACCTATTGTGTAAATAATGTATATAAAGCATGAGGTTTTTTGGGGGGGAAATTCAATCACTGTACCTATGAGCTGAAATAAAGAGCATGAAATTACTACTTGACTCTGAGTATATTTCAGCAGACATCTTTATAACGCAGAGTTGGTCTGCTACCAGGCCTGGTGTCTGAAGCCAGCACCCCGTAAAGCACATCCTTGGGGATCCTGCCACCTTCCATTCTGTGTACATGACCAAGCCAGCATAGATGTCACTGAGTCAGAAGTGCAAACATGCTGGGAATGTGGGCCTTGAAGAGCACATATTTGTTGTCCTATTTCATTCAATAGGACTTCCTTCTGAGTAGACATAGGATTACACTGTCAGAACAGAAATAGCCAGATTTACCCATCCCTAATACATAAGCTATATAAATCTTTCTCTCCTGGAAATGTAAGCTTTTCTGCTTTCACTCAGGAGAACCATCCAGGCTTTTCACAAGGGAGAACCATTCTTCATATATTTTGCTAAGGAAGCTGTATGTAAACGAAAAGCTGTATGCAGAATAAATGAAGATTATATGAAAAATTATCTATATATGTTTGACAGGATGCAGCAGCACTAGAGATGGAAGAGATTATGATGGCAACTTACTACACGAGAAAGGAATGATCTTGGCTATCGGTTGCATGCAAAGCTCCTTGGAGATTGATCTCATGTTTCTAATCCTCTCAGACTTTCCAGCAAAGTGAAAATATGTTGCGAGAATACAAGAATCAAGAAACTAGTAGCAACCAACATATTTTACAGACTGAACTCCCATTAAATAGTTTAAGCCCTTTGAGAAGTTAGTAAACTTTAAAAACCCTATTGTCTCCAAAGCAGACCTTCAAATACCTAATTAATTTTCATTTGTTTTATAGCTCTAGCAGATGTTGTGTTTTCACAGATTAGCTCATCTCCAAAGTAAATGCTAGAAACAAGAGTTTCACTACATTCCTAAATATTACAGGCTCCAAGAACAGACAGAAAAGAGCAACTGAGCTTTGCAAAGCTGTTCTTCCATGGGGATTTCAAAATGGCAAAAAAGGTTAATCCTACATGAAAACCACCCAGTATAAAAGCAGAGCCTTGACCATCCAAAGGCTGGCAGACGAGCTAGAGAAGTCAGCAAGAAGATAGCCTTGAGGTGTCTCCTTGCTGATGAAAGGGCTATTCACAGTGTGCAGTCCACAGGAGTGTAGTCAATTTTTAGCGGGTTTTTATTAGGAATCTGCTCAGGCCCATTTGGCATCCAGGACCTTAAATTAAGTTGCAAGGAGTACAGTTGCCCTTCATAAATGTGTGCAGCTGTGACTTGTACTCAGAAAACTAACAAGAGAGCCCCTGTGAAGTTCTTTCATGGTAAACATCAACTGCTTCCATTCCTCTGCCCCAGTAAGCAATCGGTTAGCTCCTTGCTGAACCAACTGAAGGTTGTTTATTTGATTGTTTGAACATCTGCACTTCTAAATCAAATGCATGCAAATGCACACATATAATTTACAAAAAGCATTTCTAATCTTTATATCCTTTCTGTTACAAAATACACACATGCCATTCCCAATAAAACATACATTTAACCTTTGCATTCCTTCTTTAACATGAACATAATTTGTTATTTTAGGTTTTGCCACATAATCCCATTATTTATTTAACCATTCATTAGTTGCTAGTGTCCCACTTTTAATATTTTGCACACAGCATGCTAGCTGTCATAATCAGATTGGATGATATACAAAGGCAGCCCTACAAATCTAGCCAAAAACCCAATAAAACCTAATAGGCTAACCTTTAAACAAGGGATTAGGAAAAGGGTGCTCATTTTACTTTAAGTACTGAGACTTCCACACATAAGCGCGCACACACACACTCACAGACGTAAAATACTTTCCACTTTCATAGCTCATTGGTTTGTGACAGGCTATATGTATTCCTCAAGTATTCCTTACTGTCAGCTCTGTAAAGCTCTCCACTTTTGTCAATATATTTTTCAGTTATGAATGCTGTAAAGAGCAGACTGAGTTTTATTTTCATATTTGAATTCCTTATGTCTATGATATTGGGAGCTTCATCTTTCAATGTGTTATCTAAGTTCTGAACGCTTTAGCTGCATTGACTGTTGTTTTTCACAATTTTAACCCTATTACCAGTGGACAAAAAGCATGCAGTTGGTATTACTATCAATGAGATGGCATACATCTTGTTAAAATTGCTGCTCACTGCTCACTCACCCATGTTTCCAATATGTGGTTGTCATGTCTTCTATATGATGTTGCATGAATATTGATTAGCAAATATTCTGGGGTGTTTATACAATACTGTATTATACGGATTTCCTATCTGAAAGAGGACATTTTGTTTCAGCACTTTGCAGTTGTTTCATGCCTTCAAAAAGGGAACACACACACACACACACACACACACACACACCTCTTTTGTTTTAGTGGCACCAAGGAAGCCATTCAGTCAGAACACTCCCAAAATATGTTGCTGCTTTCATATGTCCCAGGAATAAATAGGAAATATCTCCCAGTTCACAGACAATATTCATTCTTGAAAAGTCTTAATAACTCATCTCTCTTTCTGTTGGACATGCCACATTCCAGGTGTAAAATAAATAAAAGTTTTTAAAGCCCACCTGTGGTGCCTCTTGGGAGAATTCTCTTCCCCCCATCCCTTAATTCTATCAGGATAAAAAGGGAGCTTATTCCTTATGGAACTGCATCACAATTGAGAATTTCTCTTTAAGATTGTCCAGTATAGGCTATTTAGAGAATTGATTCTCCTTATGGGTAGCGAAAGTGGTTCCATCCAGATGTTCTTGATAAACCATAGTTCTGTTCTCTGTGTGGTAGACCACTCTTTCAGGGTACAAACCAAGGTAAACTCACTTATTAGTGACCTGGGATTTAGCTGGTAGTTGCCTGCCTTCCCTGGGAAAACCATAGCTCTTATAAGAAGCTGCTGCAGGAGAAGGACTGTGAGCAACATAGGCACCAACTTCTGTGGGGCTGAGGACACCTCAGCACCCTCAAGTAGGTGGGGATGGGGCTGAGCCTCCCCAATCTTGAGGGGTTACCCCCTGGGCCTCCCCATAGTGGCGGTGGGTCTTGTTGGGCCTCACAGCCTTCTCCCAATGTGTGTTGCACTTGTGATGTCATGCTCATGCAACGAGCTCCCCCAATGTTGGGTGGAACTCAGCACCTCTATTATGCAATATTATTGCTTAATCATGTTACTGGAACACCTCAGCAGCCTTGCAAATGGCTGCAGGAGAGGGACACTGGGGAACATCACTGGAGGGGTGTTTCTAGGACAAACATGAAGCTGTAGCATAATAATAATAATAATAATAATAATAATAATAATTTATTTATACCCCACCCATCTGGCTGGGTTTCCCCAGCCACTCTGGGTGGCTCCCAACAGAATATTGAAACACCATAAAACATCAAACATTAAAAACTTCCCTAAACAGGGTTGCTCTTTTTGATATTGGATGCTGCACGTTGTTTAAGTAATCTTGTTATATTTATAGTACGGAAATGTGGCTTTTTCTATGTTATTATATTTGCTGTTGTTTTGCTATGTTCTTATGAAATTGTTACTATGTTATTTTGCTATGCTACTGTGGAATTGTGTTTTTTTGAGTGTTTGTTTGAAATGTATTCCTGTTCTTTTGTCGTAAGTTACTTTGAGCATGTTTCTTTTTTGTGAAAAGCGGCATACAAATAGAGTGAATGAATGGCCTTGTCTTCACAACAGCTGGAACATCCTCCATGCTTAATAAAGAGTTAAATGCTTAGGAATTCTTTGCACAGGTTTTGAAGCCTGGGAGTATCTCGAGTCATTTGTGGCTCATTCAGTTTTGAATAAGATTATCAAAGCCTGCTGCTGCAGTATGAATGCATGCAGACCTCGTTTTAAGAATCAGGAGAAAGATCTAGCAGTTTTCTACTTGACAAAATGATTATACTTTTGTTGAAACAAAACAGAACTTCAGACTGAGAATTAAAGCATAATGCACTTTCAATATTCAGTGCATTGCTTCATTTAAAGAGTTACCTCTCACAAGAAAGCTTGTAATGTAGAGTTTCAGCTTCACTGAAGATAAATTGTTGAGCTACTTTATGAAAAATTTAAGAAGATTTACTTATTGGGTATACTGATAATAAAGATCTATTTACCACTGCAGTTATTCCAGCTATGATTCTTGTGACATTATCAGGGTGTTTGTTTTCTGACTCTTGTAGAGAACAGGAACAGGAAACCTGGGTCAGACATTTATGAATGTTTGCTGCCATAGATGTTCCATTTCATACATTTTCTTGGCACTATCCATTAGAAAACATATCAAATGAATGACCCATGTTCTCCATCCAGTCAAGATAAGATTTCATCCTGTTTTTGTTATCTCAGGTATTAGCCACATCACCTATTTTGGTGCCATCTGCAGCTCTGACAAACTTCTCCTCTACTTCTTCCTTTGTCATTTTGTCCTTTGTCGACTAGAAAAGAACCATGTGACCTCTCTACAGGCTCACCGAGGAGCCACTGATGAACATTATTTCAATATGGTTAATCAACCAGCTGCATACACGCCTTGTTGTTGTTGTTGTTTAGTCGTTTAGTCGTGTCCGACTCTTCGTGACCCCATGGACCAGAGCACGCCAGGCACTTCTGTCTTCCCCTGCCTCCCGCAGTTTGGTCAAACTCATGTTCGTAGCTTCGAGAACACTATCCAACCATCTCGTCCTCTGTCGTCCCCTTCTCCTTGTGCCCTCCATCTTTCCCAACATCAGGGTCTTTTCCAGGGAGTCTTCTCTTCTCATGAGGTAGCCAAAGTACTGGAGCCTCAGCTTCAGGATCTGCCCTTCCAGTGAGCACTCAGGGCTTATTTCCTTAAGAATGGATAGGTTTGATCTTCTTGCAGTCCATGGGACTCTCAAGAGTCTCCTCCAGCACCATAATTCAAAAGCATCAATTCTTCGGCGATCAGCCTTCTTTGTGGTCCAGCTTTATGGTCCAGCCTTACAAAGGTGTAATCTAGCCCACGTTTTATCAACTTGTCAACAGGAATATCATGTAGGACCTGCAGAAAGGCCTGCTGAAATCAAAGTACACTATGTCCACAGCATTTTGACAGCTGACACAAACAGAATTTCATGGTAAGCTAAACAAAGGGTGGAACATATAATGGATGTGTTGGAGCTGTTTGTATAGAGTTGTTAGAATGGACCACTAGCCTTAATCTGGTGTCCTCCATGCTGGCTGGGGCAGTTGGGAATTAAGTTCAAACATCCAGAGGACACCAGGCTGGTCTAGAATCATTGTTGCTTTTGTGTTTATGTCGTCTTCCTTCCCTCCCCCCCCCCCCGCTCTGGCATCAATCGCAGGGCCGCTGTGCTTAGAATGAAGCTCTTTTCTGGCATTAATATAGGAGAAAGAGTAGGGGAAGAAATGAGTCCCACATTCTCCTGAGGGGGTTGGATTTTCAGTTCCAAAAGACATTACTTCATTCAGCTGAGATTTATACAGTGCAGGAGAAAAACCCACGAGGAGTATTAACTGATATTGAACTAATAAAACATGCAGTAGAGAAAGTGAATCAGTTTAATTTTGAAATCATGCTGCTTCCCCCTTGCCAGAAAAATTATTATTATTAATATCACCACATTAAGCTGTATACATAACTAATTTAGATACTTTTGTCCCACCCCAAAAAGAAAAAGATGATGATTTAGAATTCCTTTACATGTAAATTTCCTCTACCTAGACATAAGATTGCTGCTTAAATGCTGTTGGAAGTACAACCGCCGAGATCACTTAGTTTGAAATTTAAGAGTTAATTCTGGTCTCAGTGTTGGTCAACAACTCAAGAGGAGTGAGTGGCAATGTTGCAAAGCAAACAGGGAACTTGGCATGATCTTTACGGAGGTTAGCATGTGTTCTGTTATCCTCTCTTGCTCTGAGGGAGGATTTTTGGGGGGTGAATTTTTAGTTGAAGCTAACCATGCTCTGAACAAGGTCAGTCAGAAAAGCAAAACTCCTTTGTGCCTTTTTGTTCAAGATGTATTCTTTTTGGTTCAGTTTGTTCAATAAATTTTTACTAGGATTTTCTCTTAGAATGTTATCTGCGTTGTTTAAATGCCTCAGCTAACAAATATTATGTATTTTGAAGGTGAAACTTCCAAATATATCTCTCTCCGTGGTGTTCCGGGAATAAAGAAGCATTTGTGAGGTTAATAATAAATAATAATAATAAATTTTATTTATATCCCGCCCTCCCCAGCCGAAGCCAGGCTCAGGGCGGCTAACAACACTAAAATAGTGCAACATTATAAAAACATTATATAAATTAATTAAAATCAGAATTGATGGCAACCATAAACTAAAGTTTTGTAAAGATTGCCAAAGGAGGGAGTCAGGCTGCACCCTGACCAAAGGCCTGGTGGAACAGCTCTGTCTTGCAGGCCCTGCAGAAAGATGTCAAGTCCTGCAGGGCCCTAGTCTCCTGTGACAGAGTGTTCCACCAGATCGGAGCCACAGCCGAAAAAGCCCTGGCTCTAGTTGAGGCCAGCCTAATCTCTCTGTGGCCTGGGACCTTCAAGATGTTTTTATTTGAAGACCGCAAGTTCCCCTGTGGGGCATACCAGGAGAGGCGGTCCCATAGGTACGAGGGTCCTAGGCCGTATAGGGCTTTGAAGGTTAAAACCAGCACCTTAAACCTGATCCTGTACTCCACCGGGAGCCAGTGCAGCTGGTATAGCACCGGATGAATGTGATCTCGCAGCGAAGACCCCATAAGGAGTCTCGCTGCGGCATTCTGCACCCGCTGAAGTTTCTGGGTCAGTCTCAAAGGCAGCCCCACGTAGAGCGAGTTACAATAATCCAGTCTGGAGGTGACCGTCGTGTGGATAACAGTGGCTAGGTCAGGGCGAGAGAGGTAAGGAGCCAACTGCTTAGCTTGGCGGAGATGAAAAAATGCCGCCTTTGTTATAGCTGCAAACTGCGCCTCCATGGAGAGGGAGGTATCGAAGATTACACCCAAACTCTTAACGGACGGTGCTGGCACTAATTGCACCCCCGCAAGAGATGGGAGTTGCCCCCTCAATCCCATATCGTCCCGTCCCAGCCAGAGGACCTCTGTCTTCGAAGGATTTAACTTCAACCGGCTCCCACGTAACCATCCAGCCACAGCTTCCAAACATCTGGTCAGTGTGTCTGGGGCCGAGTCAGGATGGCCATCCATCAACAGATAGAGTTGGGTGTCATCAGCATACTGATGGCAGCCCAGCCCAAAACTCCGGACAAGCTGGGCGAGGGCGCATAAAGATGTTAAAAGCATCGGGAGAGTATCACACCCTGGGGCACTCCACACAACAAGGAATGGCGGGATGACAATTCCCCCCCAAGCGCCACCCTCTGTCCCCGACCAGAGAGAAACGAGCGCAGCCATTGAAGGACTGTGCCCTGGATCCCCACGTCGGCAAGGCGGTGGTCCAGGAGTTCGTGATCGACCATGTCGAAGGCTGCTGACAGGTCTAGAAGAATCAGCAGCCCCGACCCGCTTCAATCCAGCTGCCTGCGGAGATCATCTGTTAGGGCGACCAGAGCCGTCTCGGTCCCATGACCAGCGCGGAAGCCGGACTGGAATGGATCCAGAGCCGATGTTTCATCCAGAAACCTACCAAGCTGTTCAGCAACCGCTCTCTCAATCACCTTACCCAGGAATGGAAGGTTACTGTGGAGTACGGCTGCACTGCTGGCCAATCTGTGAGGTTGTATGGCAGTGCAGTTCACCCCACCCCTGAGATTACACAGATTCTCCCCCCATCCTAGTACCACCCCAAGTTCCATGTTTTATGTGTGGACCTACATGCATCTCTACACGTGTAGACTTCCCCAGAAGCTAGAACTAGAGATGGAAGAAGAACCAAATAGATTTATACACTGAAATTGGCAGCTCTGAACCAACTGAGAATTGCATTGTTGGTGAGCAGGGCTTTATAAACTCAATTAATTATATGCAAAAAATTATGACTTTTATATCTAAAGGATGGGATTCAACTAATGAGCCCCACCAGTGGAAGCCTGTGCAAGGGCTCCTTCTAGTGAAATTGAGTGGGGGGTTTTACTCCCTCTCCTCCTTTTATGTGGCCACTCATAGTTCAGGGATGGGGGTCAGAACAGCATGGGGTGGGGGAGAAGGCAGATCCCTCCATCAGGTAGGCAAAAATGCATGTGCTGATGGAGCGATCTTGTTATTGGGACACAGACTTCTTCCCCTAACATGTATAAAATAGTTAAGCTCCATTTTGTACTACGTATATTTCTGCAGCATAATTTTACAAGTATATTAATATGTGTTTTTTGCAGGTATATGCGTGGTTGTATAATAATAATAATAAATTTTATTTATACCCCGCCCTCCCCAGCCAAGACCGGGCTCAGGGCGGCTAACACCAGGTATAAAAACAATTGATTAAAATACAACTTAAAAACTAGATTAAAATACAACATTAAAATGCAGCCTCATTTCAGTATAAACTCAAATCAAAAACTTTTTGGGGATGAATACATCAAATCTTCACCAAGGCCAACTATCCAGACTGGTCCTACATCGGCCAGAAAAAAGCCAGGGAAGTCCCCAAATAGGAGTTCCATAACAGAAGAAGAAAGGAAAGAGGGGGAGGGGATCAAGATCAAGATATGTATCTGTGCCGTTTACCTAAGGAAACCTGTAGTGTATGTATGCATAATACATATATAATATTCAATGTATAATAATGCATGAAATACATGAAAATTGTTCATAATTTTAGCAGAACCAGGGGGAGCAGTGCAATCTGGTTTCTCATCAAGATTAAGGAGCAAGATTAGAAAAATAAATCCATGAAGACCTCATATTTTTCAGAAAATTCCATCCCTACCTGGAACCCTTATCACACAAGTTTCAAGCTCCAAAGGAATGTAGACATCTATATGTACAGTCCTTTCCTCTACAGACTACCATACCTAACAGGAGGACACCAGGAGTGGGGCCCAGAGAAGCTGTGAGACCAGCCGTGTATGGCTCAAAGATGGTATCACCTTTACAGAATAAAAGTCAAACACAAAACAACCCTTACACAGTATATCATGGGGGGTTAGTGAAAGGATCCCCCCTCCCCACATTCACCCAGCACCAGGGGGAACTGCTTTCCCAAAATGTGATCCTATGCTGCTTACAAATGTGTGTGAAAATTTAACCATCAGGCAGTCTTTTTACCTGATTTAAGTCTGCACTGAAGCCTTATCCATGCATTAAGTGAAATCAGAAGACAGCTGAATGCATGTAGGCTCTCCCTATGATTGGGAACCCTGATTGTGCAGTCATGGAGAGACTGTGCTTGTTCAGCAGGCTTGTCCTTCGCAAACAAGCTCCAACAAATGGACAGCATGGGGACAAGATCAGAAAGCGATATGACAGTGGAGACAAGGGCATGCAATGTCTGGAAGGATGTTGGGGCATATCCAATGATGCTGTTTTGCTAGCTCAGCAAACTCCCACCTGCACAATGGAGACTTCCTCTCATCTCACCTACAGCCCCTGTGTACACTCAAAATGTTCTCCAGGGGGTTGGAGGAACCTCTGGAGCAGATTCTGAGGGTGCGCAGGAAGAAGAGAGGGAGGAGAATTTCTGTTGCATGCATGGAACTCAGTACACACATCTGCCTGAATATGTCTTGGAAAAATACCAATTGTGCAGAGAGTGGATCACTGGCCCTCCTCACAGGGGAACAAGCTCACATCTGGAGTGGGACTTCTGTTAGGTGCCTGTGTGAGCCAAGCTTTATTGTGGAAGCGTGGAAGAGAACTCCAAGAAGAGGATGCTATGAATTGCACTATCTTTCCCCATGCAAACATATGCTATACCTATGCTTTCTGCTTGCCAAGTGAGGCTAATTCTCCACTGAAAATCTTCAACTTTTAAACAGGTAGCAGTGTGACAACTGTAACTTTTTATACCCAAATATGAATTGTCAGTGATATGATCCTTCCTATCTGTTTTGGAAAAGGTCAGGCAAAACCCAACATGACAGGAGTTCTTTGCATTTTTTCCCCCCTCATCACCTTCCTACTTAAAGTAAAACCTTAGGCTGGTTCAGCATCACTTTGCTTTCTGTTTGACAAGAAAAGCAGAATCGCCTCCTGGATCCAATACCCCCTACTGGTGTCATCTTGCAATATAACCACTATGACAGCATTTTTCACACAGAAGTCCATAAAGCTATTGGAAAAACTCCAGAAGAGGATTACAGCTTGTGAAAGACTCTTTTTATTATTATTTTAAGATGTCACTTTGTAATATGCAAAACTTTCTCTTCCTCCAAATTCTTGCATGGTGACTGGTGCCACCATAATCCCTTCAACAGCACAATATTCTAATCTGAAGGGAATGTAATATTGCTTTATTGCACATAAGCTTAAACTCTTTAGACAGGCAGGCTCTGGTGGCTTTTTGTCTTGAGAAAGCTGAACTGAATGCAAATAGCCTGGATGAATAGAACAGAAGATACTGGTAAATAATTTCATTGAGGATTAAAGCCCTTTTAAGCTGGTAACACTTGTGCAGGGTGGGCCAGCATACATAATACAGAACAGATAAGTGGTTATAAGAGATCTGTGCTATCATTCTTTGTTTTTATTATTTACATAGGAGGTGTCTCATTTTGCGTAAGACATTAAGATACAAAGGGATCTGGTCTACAAATATATGTAGCTTCTGTTTCTGACCATCTGGTGAGAGAGAGCCATGATTATCATGCTGTTTTGGTTTCCAGCTAGGCCCTGTTTCGGCTCTCTTCAGTTGTTCCCCTCCTCACATGATTCCAATAGCACAAGGAGGCAGGGTGTGGGAATACTCCCTAGCCCTCTCCATCATATGCAGTGGAGGCTGGTCTCCTAGGACAGTACATAAGAAGAGCCTGTTGGATCAGAGCAATGGTCCCTCGTGTGCCTCCTCCTCGAGAGGTCTGGAGGGTGGCAACACGAGAACGGGTCTTCTCTGCAGTGGCTCCCCATCTGTGGAATGCTCTCCCCAGGGAAGTTTGCCTGGTGCTTTCATTATACACCTTTAGGCGCCAGGCAAAAATGTTCCTTTTGTTGACCTGATTGACATCCTATACCCTTTTAAAATGTGGCTCTTTTGGGGGGGTGTTATTGGGTTATTGTTTTTATTTTGATTTTATATATTGTGATCTTTTCTGTGCACTGCCCTGAGACCTCCAGGTATAGGGCGGTATATAAATTCAGTTGATAATAATAGTCCAGCATTCTTGACCACACGAGAGCCAGTGTGGTGTAGTGGTTAAGAGTGGTAGATTCGTAATCTGGGGAACCGGGTTCGCGTCTCCACTCCTCCACATGCAGCTGCTGGGTGACCTTGGGCTAGTCACACTTCTTTGAAGTCTCTCAGCCCCACTCACCTCACAGAGTGTTTGTTGTGGGGTGGGGGAGGAAGGGAAAGGAGAATGTTAGCTGCTTTGAGACTCCTTTGGGTAGTGATAAAGCAGGATATCAAATCCAAACTCTTCTTCTTCATCCTGTTCTTACAGTGGCCAAGCAGATGCTGACAGGAAGCCTGCAAGCAGGACCTGAGGGCGACAGTACTCTCCCCTCCTGTGGTTTCCAGCAACTGATATTTAGAAGCATACTGCCTTCGACACTGGAGAAAGTTCATTATTATTTATTTCATTTTATTTCATAAAATTTATACACCACCTGCTTGTTAAAAAAACCCCTTCAGAGCAGTCTACAAAAAGATAAAACAAGGAAAAAAATACAATCCTTCTCTAAAATATATAAAAGTTAAAATACTAAAGCAGGTTAAGATTACCTCAAATATCTAAACATCTGGATAGGCTTGTGTAAGAGTGTTTTGAGCAAGCACTGAAAAGAGTACAGTGGTACCTCGGGTTAAGAACTTAATTCGTTCTGGAGGTCTGTTCTTAACCTGAAACTGTTCTTAACCTGAAGCACCACTTTAGTTAATGGGGCCTCCTGCTGCCGCTGAGCAATATGTTCTCATCCTGAAGCAAAGTTCTTAACCCGAGGTACTATTTCTGTAACCTGAAGCGTATGTAACCTGAAGCGTCTGTAACCCGAGGTACCACTGTACAGCGAAGGCACCTGCTTAATATCAATAGGCAGAGAATTCCAAAGTTTAGGTGCTGCCACACTAAATGACCAAGTTCTTACAAATGTGGGATGGGCATTACATGGTACCTGCATTGGTGTCAATTCCACCAGTTGAAGCGTTTGAGTGGGAACATGTGAGCAATAGCCATCGGGTTTGGAATCATTGATAGTAGCACTGCTCCACAAGCTCAGCCTGCCTCCACTGGCTGACAGACACTCAGAGGGTGGCTCTGCCAGTCTGACTCTGGCTTCGCCTACTGCTGGTCCCTCTCCCTTCCACAGTATTAATCCTGAAAGACACTTATCAAGACTTCTCATAGCATTGCTGGAGGCCCTACAGCCCTCCATATGCTGGAGACAATGTCTGCAGTGGGGAGCCTTCTCCACAAATCTAAGCTCATTGTATTGTTTATATCCTTGACCTCTTCTACCCAGCAGGAATATCTATCTTTCTATCTATCTATCTATCTATCTATCTATCTATCTATCTATCTATCTATCTATCTATCTATCATCATCTATCTATCTATCATCTAAGCAACAAATAAGGGAAGATCATGGAGGTGCACAATAAAATAATTAGAACATTACTACATTACAAAATCATTAAAAAGCAGATGACCAACACGGAATCAAACTAATTCTCTTAAATTGTGTGAGGAAGTACATTTAACTCATGGGATGCCTTCAGCAACCACCCTCTCACAAAGAGTTAAATAAGCCTGACCTTTGTGGCTCTGCGTGCTTTATTGCATTTGACCTCGCTAAGCCATTCCTTCATTTTCGTCACCTTGGTTATTGCTGTGATTAAATAACAGGAGCAGGTAAAGAAGGATGAGCAAGAGAGCTCACAACGGATCTTACTCTGCTAGCGAATGGAGGCAACATCTGGATGCAGACATTAGAGGCATTTACAACGCATGGCCTCAGCCTTGAGGATAGTACCAACACAAAGCCCTTCTGGACATTTCATCCTCAAAGTTTTATAAGTACCACCTTGGCAACAGTATCGTTTCATTTTTATTAAAGCCGAAAGTACAAGCCAAAACATTTCATCACAGAAATAAAATCTATATTTTGTTAATCACAGTAAACACACACACACACATGCTGCCTCATGCTGAGAAAGACCATTGGCCCATCTAGATCAGTACTGTCAGTACTGGCAGTGGCTCTCCAGCATAGCTGTCAACTTACAGATTTGAAAATAAGGGACCAGCAGCCTTGAAAATAAGGGATCCACAGCCAAAATAAGGGACCTGCAGCCTCACCTGTTCCAGGCACTCCAGTCTTCCTGTCCTCCTGCAGTCTGGTCAAACACATCCTGGTAGCTTCGAGAACACTGTCCAACCAACTTTGTAACCAGAGGTTCAACTGAATAGAATCTGAATCACATGCACTACAAGGCCTGTGCAGCCTCAACTTAAGATGGCTCCCCGGCCTGTCTTTGCACTGCAAAGTTTGCAGCAGCACGTGCAACAAAATGGCGTCCAGCATTCAAAAAACCCCTCAGCTTGCATTAACTAGCCACACACACACAGCCTCCCCCCCTCGCCACGAGATCACCAGTCACCCACCATTTTAGTCAACCAGCTCCTTTCTTTTTCCCCATAAGTCAATCGAAGGAGCCTCCAAAACAAATTCAAAAGCCCCCCCTCCCACGAGATCTCCTTTCCTTTTCCCCCACCATGTGCCCCCACTCCAGACAGACCTTTTCGCCGGCAAGGGTGAGTGGGCCGTCGATGACGTATCCATCCGATTCCGATCCGAGCACTCAGCACAGGTATGTTCAACTTCTGAGCCCCTCTGAGCCAAAGGCAGAAAGCCCAGCCAGCAGCCAAACGAAGCCTCAAGGAAAACCACTGTCACCTCTCCGCTGGGAAGTGCTGAGCAAAGGCGAGTCCCCAGGCAACGCAGTTGATTTGATCAGCACAAGGCATGCAAGCTCCACACACCCCCCCCCAGTCGTTCTTAGACTTCTTATTGGGTGAGCAACACAGCCAAGCAGCACAGTTGGAGCCTCCCTCCTCCCTGGCCGGCAGGGAGGGAGGGAGAGGAGCTGCTTCCTTTGAAATTTAAGGGACACCATTTAAGGCACCTCCATCAATAAGGGACAGCAGCGGGACATGGCGCTGGAATAAGGGACTGTCCCTCCAAATAAGGGACACTTGGCAGCTATGCTCTCCAGGGTTTCAGGCAGAAGTCACTCCCAGCCCTATGTGGAGATGCCAGGGACTGAACCAGGGACCTTCTTCAGGCAAATCAGATGCTCTATCACTAAGCCATAGCTCTTGTTAATCTAAAACAATCATGTTCCCGCTGCAGAATCTTCCTGTCTGATGGCTGGCATTTCAAAGTGATGGGGTCACAGGAGCAAATGTGACCATTTCATGAGACGCTGGACTAAGTTGCCTCTGCATCCACATGGAAGCAGAACTGTCTTCCAAAGAAAGGTTAGTTTGGTTTGTCTTCAGAGTCCAATATCCAGGCCTTTCCTAACATATTTCCCCTTGTTTTTGTCATCTCCCCCTTCCCTTCCAAAAGCTGTAGAGAAAGCTCCAAGAAAGAAAAATTGGTGTTAGCGTGAGGGGATATTTATTCACTGAGTGAACCTAGCTGAGTAATAACTACTGTGGATGAAATGGCTTTGAAGATACATTTTGCTGACAGAATTCCAACACAAAGTCACCAGAGGTAGGAACAGGTCTCTAAATCACTGCCAGCAAAGCCTGTCCTTCTAGGACTTCTGGAACAAATTACACCAGAATGCAAACTATCTCTTGTTTCAGTGCAGAAAGAAACATAGGGTTGTTGTTGTTTTTTTAAAAAAATCTTACTAAGTTTGGGGGAGATCACTCATCAAATTCTACCTTGCTCAGGTTCAGTCTTTCAGTCCTACCATGAGACCAAAATTTGACTACTCTTGGTTCTATAGGGCAATTTTGTTGTTGTTGTCATGAGCCAAATTCAAGCACACTGAGTTTTGTGTGGATCAGCAAATACTTAGAGATGGTTTGAGGTGGATTTGAGGCAGGAGTTTCTCTCAGCCCTACCTAGTGTTGCCAGAGATCAAACCTGAGACCTTCTACATGGGAAAAAGATGCTCTACCACTGAGCTACTGCCCATTCCAGTAGCCCTTTTGTTGGTTCTGACAACAGCGGCAGGGCTCCTGGGAGTCCCAACAGTTGGTGGCCACCATTTCTTACCTTCCTGCAGATCAAGGGCATTCTGATTGTCTTTGTGATTCCACAGTTCCTGGGAGCACTTTTGACACTGGTGCTAGATTTGCTGCCAGCTCCAAAATCATATTTACCCCCCACCCTGCATTGCCAAAATGCTACTTCCAACTTCACAATATGTGAAAAGGGTTGTAAAGTTTGGGGTGGCTCAGTCCAAAACATATTTTTACTGTTGTTGGAATCCATCTGTCTCTGGAGTTGTGCCTCAAACTGCTGCATTAGAGGCACCAAAGTGACTTCTCCTGGGGCACAAGCATTTGCAGTGTGTATGGAGGCTCTGGGGTGACAAAATCCTCCTCTCAGCCTCACTGATGTGTTCCAGAGGAAAGCAGAGTGTAGAAATAACAGAGGACAGCACGGGAGTTGAATCCATGTGAGCTGTGCAGGAGCAAGCTAGCAAGCAAGCTCCAAGCAAGCTGCCAGCTAGCTCTGCAAAGGCTCCTTTTATTAGCAGAAGTCAACAATTGGAAACAGTAGTGAAACCACCCTGAACATAAGGTATTTCCAGTAAAGGCACATTTCCAGCGTTAGCAATACATGTGTCAGACAGGTGTTTTCCCCCCAAATGTTCCCCTGATACCCGAAAGTCTGCGTCATTCGACATGCTTCAGCCAAGTGGAACATTAAGTAAAGCTTTCTGCGAGGAAGGAAAAGGTCAGAGAGTGGGCATGGCGGCTAGACACCCTGTGGAGTGTCTTATGCTGAGGTGGGGGTACACCCCCACACTGCATCCTCATCCCCACAGCAGAGCAATACTTTTGGCACCAGCTTGGCTGCAGGAGTTGCCAGAAGGAGACGTACAATGCACCATCCAACCATCTTAGGGACTCCGCTCTGGATTTGTGTAGGTTTTACTCCTTAGCCTTTTTCTTCTCCCAAAGATATCCTGCAAGGTAGTGGAAGTTTAGGGTCAGAATTTTCTTTCTCCTAAATGGGGTGGCTTCCCAGATTGATGAGCCCCATCTGCCCCTCGCTTCCCTCTACAGCCTGTGCAGAAACCACCTTCTTGGCAGTTGGACCCACTATCGACCTTGTCTTCTCAATCCTCTGGAGCCTCTCTCACATGTAGGGTAAGTGCCTATCTCACTGAGGGTTTGAGACCCATTAGCTACCCTCACCTGGTTTTGCCGGCCAGTCGAAGTCATTCCCAGGGTGTGGTCACTGTCGCATGTTGACAGCTTCTAGGAGCCACAGGTGAGAGTTGAGTGCAGGGGGGGTGGAGACCAAAGGTGGACAAATGACCCCAGGAGGAACACAATGTGCCCCACACCAGAGGTATTCCCTCTCCTACTACCCCATACGCCCCATATTTTCAATAATGGGTGGGAAACCCAGAAATGGGTGGGAGTAGAATTATTATTTTTTTCTTTCCATGTTACAAGGATGGATCACTGTGATTCTGGTTCAGTTTAAGCCTAACCAATCTGCTACTCTCAATTCTTATCACTCTTGAATACACATGTGCTAAACAAAATCATTACTTTAATTCCAATAAGAGCATATTTGTACATTAAATTTGCCTGCTTTTTCCCCTTGTAAAACCTTTTATCTGTGGTCTATGCATGCAAAGAGATAGTGTGATGGGAACGGGAAACGGTTTGTATTTTTAACCAAAATGGGAGGGAAAAACACTGTTAACATTGATTTTCTGAACTCATAGTGAACTCAAGCAAAGTCGGTTCTAATCTTTTGGCACAATATGTTGTATTTAAAGTTTATCTGTTTTACAGCACTGCAAGTGAGTTAAATATATTATCACAGCAAGATGCCTCCTCAGGATTATAAAAGCTTTTGTTTTATGCATGCAAAAACTTGTAAAGAGTCTTTCGCTATTAACTCGCAATGCAAAATATAAATGCCTCCTATGGGAATAATGGACATAAACATATTTCAGTTTTATCTAGTATAATCTAGGTCAGATCTTTGAATTGGAAGGAGCAAGGAAGGGGAGATCAATGAGCTCCCACAGCTATTTGTGGCTGTAATAAAGCCAGTGTAATAATACAGACTTCAAGAAAGCCTCCCCTAGCTGAAATGCAACTGAGCAATGATGAATGAACCCACCAGTTAACATTAACAGTTCGGAGATGGATAATGAAAACAGAGACCTGTGAAGAAAGTTATGGGATGTGCTTCCATGGTGGGGAAGACTAAGACTGGTTTAACTTCAAAAAGAAATCTCCAGGCCAAAAAACAATTTTATTGGATGGGCATATAAATGTTATTGATAGTGTCCTTGCCTTAATTATATGTCAAGGGTAAGGAACCTTAGGCCCACAGCTCAACCACAAATTTGCTTTTCTATCTGCCCCTTGCAGTTCCTCCTCTTAATTTTATCCTGGTTCACACTCTTCATGGGCTATGCCATATCAGAATGGAGTTGCGAAGGCTGACGGATGCGCCTTAGCTTATGCAAGTTTGCCTTTTGCATAGGACTTCTCTTGGAAATAGTCCAATAGTCTGCAATTCTAGCATTACATTTGTATAGGTCTTCTGAAAGGGGTACAACTTGCAAGGGTGCTGCCCCTGTTATCACAGGCAGTGAGCAAGGCAGCTCCTCTACATGATCCCCACCATGACGATTGGCAGCAGCTCTGCTTTGAACTTTACTTACAGATTCATGCAAGGCACTGAAAAAGTGGATAGAACCCAAGGACTCACAGACATCCAATGGATTGTTGGAAGATTCAGCACAGATACAGAAAGTATTTCTTCTACTTGTTATCTGGCCTTCTTCCCTGGCACTTGCTTCCCAAGTCCACAGTTCCCAAATCGCCCTGGAGCAGGCATCCCCAGACTCGGTCCTCCAGATGTTTTGGGACTACAGTTCCCATCATCCCTGACCACTGGTCCTGTTAGCTAGGGATGATGGGAGTTGTAGTCCCAAAACATCTGGAGGGCCGAGTTTAGGGATGCCTGCCCTGGAGGAAATAGCTTGTCTTTGCTCAAGGCCTTCTGTGAGGTAGCATTTCCGCATTTGCTCTTGCTCACCCACGTTTCGTTGGCTTCCTACTCCCTCCTCCCAAAGTACACTGAGTCCAGCTTGTGGCATTAAAGAATGCCGGTCTTTTCCATCTTCTGCATCAATACTTCCTCAAGTATTACAAACAATTATAGCACCCTTCCCCAGCTGTGGGTCCTCAGATGTTCCACTGGCCCCAAACAGCCTCCCCAGTGGTCAGGGGTGAGGTGCTCTGCTCTTAAGGCAAGGCTGCAGGGATAGTTCCATTCAGATAGGTTCATTTTAATATTTTTGTAAACCACTTAGAGGTTCTGTTCATTTTGTATAAGAATTCATTGGTATATGAATATCAGAGCTAGTTTGTCATTTGTCCAGCGTTCCTTGTGAAGGGGGATAGATTGTTAAACAGCTCTGGGACCTGTGGCTGGGGTGGCGGTGACAGGGGTCTCCTGACAACTCTCATCACCCTTAACAAACTATAGCTCCCAGAATTCTTTAGGGGAAACCATGACTATTTAAAGTTATATCATAGAGCTTAAATGTATGGTGTAAAAGTGGCTGCAAGTCTTATTCTTTCTTCCTCTCCACATGTCCAGACTGAGCTCAGGGGGATGGGGTGAGAGATATTCTGTCTGCTTTCAGCAATATTGGGCCTTTTGTGAAGCTTAAAAGCCTCCATCGCCCACTCAACAAAGCGCGGTATAACAGCATTCATGGCTGATAAGAATACACAAGGTAAAAGGTGAAACACTGCTGCAGGCCTGCATTAAAGGCCCTGTCAGGGAGCTGCATAAAAACCTATTGACTGAAGTAGGTAAGTTACCAACAATGTGGAATTTTCAGTTAAGTATCAGCCTACCATCTTTTTGTACCTAGTTTTAATTATGACTGTGTTTGTTATGTGCTGTAGCTGTTCAACAAAAGATGCACAGATTCAGCAGAGAACAGATAACGAAGGATGCTTCATTAGGTAGCTGTGTCGGTTGCTGTCATTTCAGCATCGCTGGGGCTGAAGTGTTGATTGTTTGGGAGATTTTAACATTCCTGTCAAAGCGGCTCTCACTGCACTCCGTATGTTGGAAAACGTTCCTCTCCATTAAATTCTCTAAGGCTTCCTCTACTGCAGAGCCAGTGCTATTCATTCCAGCCTTGATCTGGCAATCTCTTTGCATCTCTCATTTGACTAGTGCTGCTTCTCACCTTTTCTCTTCCCCCCTACCGCTAGACACACAAACTTCAGGTCATGTACCTCATTTCTCTTGAGCACATTGTTTTGTGTTTTCCTCCTCCACACTGCATGCCAACAATTCCATTGCGTGTGGCAATGAATGCAAACTTAGAATCCAGGAAACTTAAGCAGCGCTCTAATGCTACTCCCGCTGTTGCAATGAAACAGTGGGGCTCCCAAACACCAATTGCTTTGGATAAGATTGATTCTTAAGACTTCCTCTGCGTAACTGGAAGTTCATGCTAGTCATTTCAGCAGGTGCACACCTATATGGAAGCCACATGCTGGAGGAACGGGGCATTTATTTTTCCTAGGCAAGTTATTCACTCTCATGCTTGATTTACATTAGGGATCATGGAATTGTAGAGTTGGAAGGGACCCTGAGGATCATCCGGTCCAACTCCTTGCAATGCAGGAATATGCAGCTGCCCCATACGGGGATCGAACCTGCAACCTTGGCATTATCAGCACCACACACTCACCAACAGGATGCTGATATGAACTGATCTGATCCACATCTCTCAGACTCATTTGCGTATCAGAAATATCCAAGGAATTTTGCAATGATCTGGATTTTGCAACCAAAGTATGTTTAAGACATGCATTTTGAGGGTGGGGGTGATTTAGAAATGGGTATTTTGAGAGGAAGTACACTTAATATATATATTGTACCTAAAAAGCAATTCTCATCCTTTATATATACAACTGATCACTGTGATTTGCAGAAGTGGGAACTCTGCAGATACAACTGTATCAGCAGATCCTCACATAATGTTGTAATCCTATTAATGGTGCCTATGCCTTTGGGATTCTGTCCCATTACATATCCCACTGGTTCCACTCTATTGTCTTTTCAGAGTCTATTGAAGACAAGTCTTCTGAATGCAGATGTCTATCCTAGTTCATATCTGTAATGGATTTGAAATTGTTGTTATATATGTGACTGCATTAAATTGTGTGTGTGTGTGTGTGTGTGTGTGTGTGTGCACGTGCAATGCTTTTATTGTAATGTGAAATTACTTCAAGATGCTTCGTAAGAAGAGATCCATAAATAATCATAATTAAATGCATTTTATGTGCTTTTTTAAAAAACGAAAAACCAAACAAAAATTCATGCAAAAACAGGATGAAAAAGACTTATGGCTGAACATATGCAAAAGCAACTCAGACTAGAAACATAACAATTTGCCTACCCCTGTTTCATAGGAATCAACTCCTAGAGGGCAAGGTCCCTTCGCCTACCCCCCTCAATAAAATATTTGAGGGAGCCACTCCCCTAAGTAGATGTGCAATGCCATTCAAATGGTGTATGCTCACTGTGTCATGTGACTTAGCTGGGTGCCCCCAATATTTTATTCAGGTTTGCACCACTGCCCTGTTTCACTCACATGCAGATGATGACTACCAAGTATAAAACACTGGGGTGCACATGTAGCTGTTGCATTTCTGGTTGGGAAGTTAAAGACCCTATTTGTAGAATTTGTGTGTGGGAGGTGAGCGCTGCACTGCGCTGCAGTAAAAATGGCAATGGTCACAACCAGCCTCAGAAAAGCTTATTGAATTAGTGCCTGTTCACACTTCAGCTTGTCCCTTACCTAGAAAGCACGGGTCTGAGTAGTTTTCCCCTTGCCCCACCCTTCCCAAGGAAACCCTTGCTCTAAATAGGAGCAAACATCAATCTAGAGCAAGCTTGAGTTGCAGTTTGCTCCGATTGAGCGCTAAAGAGCGTTCCCCCCCCCCGGGGGGGTAGGGTAGGGGAAGTAGTGGGACAAGAGGAAGTGTGGGGATAAGCCCCTAGACGGGTGAATCCTAACAGAGAAGGAGAAGATAAGAAATAGCAACTGTTATATTTTGAACACTGGGTGTCAGAACAAAAGTTGTAAAAGTTTGTCTAGTGCTATTTGCTTAAAGCAGAGACATCACCTTGCCAACAAAGGTCCATATAGTTAAAGCTACGGTTTTCCCAGTAGTGAAGTATGGAAGTGAGAGCTGGACCATAAAGAAGGCTGATCGCCAAAGAATTGATGCTTTTGAATTATGGTGTTGGAGGAGACTCTTGAGAGTCCCATGGACTGCAAGAAGATCAAACCTATCCATTCTTAAGGAAATCAGCCCCGAGTGCTCACAGGAAGGACAGATCGTGAAGCTGAGGTTCCAATACTTTGGCCACCTCATGAGAAGAGAAGACTCCCTGGAAAAGACCCTGATGTTTGGAAAGATGGAGGGCACAAGGAGAAGGGGACGACAGAGGACGAGATGGTTGGACAGTGTTCTCGAAGCTACCAGCATGAGTTTGACCAAACTGCGGGAAGCAGTGGAAGACAGGAGTGCCTGGTGTGCTCTGGTCCATGGGGTCACGAAGAGTCGGACACAACTAAACGACTAAACAACAACAATTTGCTTATTATTCTGAGAAAACAAGTATACTTATTTTTTGTATGGTGGAAGAGAATATGATCATGACTGATTAGACTCTAGGCTCTTCCAAACTTCCTTTTGCTGGGAAAACCCACTATTTATGGCTGAGTTGGAACAAACAGGAATTGGGGTTTCCACAGTGAAAACAGTGAAAAACAAATTTAAATCTAAATTGTGTAGGAAAGAGATCCAGATTCTGAGTTAAATACATTAATTTTTTTTAATGCATTACGTGCATTAAAGCAAGTTTTCATATATGTGCTTAATTTGATAATTAATTTATCTTCTAAGGTTTTCAAATAGGGTTCTTGTAGTAGTCATGACGGAGGGGAAAGCACTGAGACACAGCCACCACTATAACTGGCAAAGCTGTTCAGCTTTTCTCTGACTTCTGCTGATATGCTTTTCTCTTTAGTTTAAAGGCTTGATTCAGCTTGCTTTACAAAACTAAAACATGATTGTTAAAATTCTGAATTTTGAATTGGATTGTGAGTTGGTTCCAATAATTTGCCACTGGCTGGTTTTTACGCACACACATTCAACCTTACCATTTTTGTAAGGGACAGAAAAAAGAGCAGAGGGGAGGGTGCAAATAGATATAGCACTTGGGTGGCAGAAAAGTTTGCATCCTAATGGGATTTCTATCAGCCTCCTCTCTGATTACCAGATTGATAAGTTGATGAGCACAGTTGATATGCAGGTATCAGTGGAGTAGAGAGTCCAGTGTGTTTGTGTGCATGCAAGAGTGTGGGGTGCCATGCAACCTCTGGATCCTCTCACTATGGGTAAATGTGACCTCCCCCCAGGGTAGCCGCCTCTGAAGCAGACCATTTGGGCAAAATGTCTTTTTCTGTGTGGGGCTCCCAGTATAGTATAACTGCTGTGTCCCATCAATGCAAGCAATACCCAACATTTTTGTTGTTGCTCTTTCATCACACATCGACAATTAAGTTTGCTTTGAAGAGATCACTGTTTGATGCTAATGGAATAGCAATGTAACACACCCTGCTCCTCTGAAACCTTTTGTTGTTGTTCTCTTTGAAAAAAAAACAACAACGATGAATTTATGTGACTTTTACTGTCCCTGACTCTGTTTTGCTTTCTTGAGGCTGGCTTGGCCCTTTCGTTATCCTTAATCAAAGTGTGAATGTCACAGAATTTCATTTTTTTTATTAAAAAAAGAACACTAATTTAAATGGATGCAACAGAGGTGTTGAAAATTGGCTCAGTCTTTCCTAATTTATTACAATCGGCTTCTGACCTTTTCATTATTTTGGTAGCATTGATGTTTCTTCAAAACACCCAAGAACAAAGTGCCATTAAATAAGTCTTTCATGTGGCCAAGCATTAAATCATTCCTGTCCGTCTGTCCTCTTTTGGTTAATTTGAATGCCAGTATACCAACCTTACAGTGTATGGCACAATCTACTTTTTCACTGAAAATGACTCTGGATTTTGGTGATGTTAGTGTTTTATTCCACAGCCATTAATCCTAATTTTATTTAATGGTCTGCCCTAGGAAATGCCATATGTGAAGCTCCGATCCATATGAGCTAACATTCTCTTTCTCAGTATTTATGTGATAAAAGGGGCTTGTGAAAAGACTATCCAATGCTAGCATCACTAGGAGTAATTGTCATATTGTGCAGATATTTTTTTTTTACATGTACTGCTGTCAAGCAAGCTGTCGCCCATCTTATATTTGTGCATCTGATTATTCTTGCCTAAATGTAGAACCTTACATTTATCCCTATTGAAATTCATTTTGTTAGTTGTGTCCCAGTTCCCCAATCTGTTAAGGTCATCTTGAATCCTGATCCTGTCTCCTGAGGTATTATCTACGGCTCCCAGTTTGGTGTCATCTGCAGATGTGATGAACATCTCCTCTATTCCCTCGTACAAGTCAATTTTAAAGATGTTGGTCAGCACTGAACCTAAGATAGATCTCTGCAGCATCTCCATTTTCTAGTATTACAAAGAACCAAAGGTATTTATTTATGATGTTTATATATTGTCAAATGACATTTGTTTTCAGGGAAACCTTGAATAAAAACTGAAGCAAGTAAATACAAAACAGGAGATGAGCAAGAGAAAACAGTATCCTGTGCACTGTGCAATTCTGAGGAGGTAAGACACTTATTGGGATGTGGGTGGCGCTGTGGGTTAAACCACAGAGCCTAGGACTTGCCGATCAGAAGGTTGGCGGTTCGAATCCCTGTGACGGGGTGAGCTCCCATTGTCCGGTCCCAGCTCCTGCCAAACTAGCAGTTCAAAAGCACTTCAAAGTGCAAGTAGATAAATAGGTACCGCTCTGGCGAGAAGGTAAATGGCGTTTCCGTGCGCTGCTCTGGTTTGCCAGAAGCGGCTTAGTAATGCTGGCCACATGACCCGGAAGCTGTATGCCGGCTCCCTCAGCCAATAAAGCGAGATGAGCGCCACAACCCCAGAGTCGGCCACTACTGGACCTAATGGTCAGGGGTTCCTTTACCTTTACCTTTAAGACACTTATTGAGACCTTTTGTGGGTACCATTGGAGGTACTGGCAGGCTCAGTTGGCACCTCCAAGCACTGCATTGGTAACCCCTGGATTAGAGAAAGAAGATGGTGTGCAAACTATATGACAATTTGTGGTGGAGTGAGTTAATAACGGCCTGTAGTAACAATGAGTGAGCATTTCAAAGCATGAAGTGAAGTTGCATAGAAAGTCATGTTGAAGACTGTATCCGGTGACAGAAATGGTAATAGAAGAGAAAGTGCTTAAATGAACAAAACTACTGGAGCACATTAAATAAGAGAAAACCCATGAATGTCTTCATACCCTTATTAGACTTTCTAATAAAATACGATGATTCACCAAAGCTCCCAACAATGACAGTGGAGAACCTAAGACCCACTTGAGGTAGACACAGTGAAACAACTGATTCCCTTAATTGGCACATCCCAGTGGGAGCAGAAATATGCCAATTATCAAAGGCTCCGAGGAAGGCATTGTTCTGTTAGAGATTCTTTTTTAGTTCATGAACTGTTTGAGGGGAGAAAATTCTATAGCAAAGGACTTTTAGAAGGGGAATGTTAAGGTTTGTTGCTCACTAATGCAAGGGTGTTTCATAGAAAGTTGATATCATTAATCCCATGGACATTCTCTCCCATTCCTAGCAGAAAACCCAGTAGGATCAGGAGTTTAGGAGGTACCATTAGTTTCCTGTATGTGGCTGCACAAGGAAGGGTGGGGACACAAGTCACTCGCATCCTCCTACTGTGACAAGCTCCACTCCCTGCTTGTCTCCCAGAACCAGAAGAGGCATGAAAAGGGTGGGGTCAGAGGTTGGCTTCATGCACATGCAGTCTCTGATTGCTTGGAGGGAACCCTAGAGAAGAGGGGACTTGGACGACTGTAGGGAGACAGGGGGCAAAACCTGCTGGGGATGAGCTGCTGTGCTCATCAGGCCTGGCACTCCGCCAAGTCTATGCAGATCATGTTCTTGCTAATAAAGACTTGCATATTGTGGTTACCTCCCAGCTCGCTCCTGACAGTAACACATGAATCCCGAACTGGTAAGGTTATGCTGAGAGATAGTCACTGCCCCAAGATTACCCACTGGCTTTGTGGCTCACTGAGGATTAGGACCCAAGTCTCCCCAGTTCAAGTCATTTTTTTTATGCATCTTCAAATGTAGAAAGTCCACAGTCATCACAAGGTCAATGTTGTGTCCTACCACTACACCCTCACACAACCCAGTATTAAGTCCAGTTTAGGCAAAATGCTCACAACTGTCTACAACAGCTGATGATATCACTGCTACTGAATATCAATCACATTCAATGCTATATTTGTACGAAATAAAATGAATCCTGAGCACTCTGGGTAAAGGTTGATTTATAAACTGCCTTGTTGCCTAAGAGAATGTTGCATAGTCTAATCTTTTCTGTTCTTGTTCTGCAAAGATGGACTAGGTGGGTAGTGTTCCCCCTCCCATACATAGTTTTCCCCCACTCACCGTTGGACAGGCACAGCCTTGATTTTGTTTATATACGTGATTTGAAGGACCTAGGTTAATAGATGCCAAACACAGCTCAGTAAAGATAAAAAGAGAATAATGAGCATGGGAGGAAGGAGTAAAATGAGCAGCAGCTAAATGGAAAAGTGCTCCAGCATAATGACCAGGAAATAGATTTAAGAAATATTGCCAAAAAAAATGTCCTTAAAGCCTTCCACCAAAAATTGCAGCTACTTTGAATGACATAAATAGGGTACAAGCTTGCATTTCCAGAGTAACAGCACTATAAATACGATATGAGCTATGATGAGACACAATAAGCAGATCCTTCATTTTTGAGCTCGTACGGTTGCCAAATTGGCAACTGCATATTGGCTGGGGTGTAATTACTCTTGATTGGGTGCAACATAGATCAGCTGAGATCACAACCCATTTCAAAGGATAATTGTATTGGGATGACAGAAAAAGCAAGTTTTGTGTTAGGCTCTGTCATGTACAATTAGAACCATTCATTTGTATAAAGCATAATGCTTGAGAAACATTACCTGATTCAAATCTTCCCCAAGTCATCCCTTGAACAAGTAGATGGACTCTTTTACAGACAGGCTTACTCCAGTAAGTTTGTGGCAGAATGAGAAACCGGAACCCTGGTTTTTCCCCAGCCAAAGCTTTTGCACTGGACCACCCTAGATGAATAGGGTGCAGGAAATCAGCGATTTCATAAAGACCTGTGTAGAGATTCCAAACTATATTGTAATCACTGTTTTTGCAGCTGTGACAATGGGTAATTAATGCTAACTAAATGCTACACACAGGTGTGCAGTTAGTTAGTCATGTTGAATATGAAAAACAAATTAAGTGTGCATTTCCCTTGACAATGGTAAATAGCATGTGTGCAATCAGTGCCATAAAATGATCAGTGATCTTTGAAAACATGGATACAGATTCCAGAACAGATGAGGTACAAAGGATAATAGGTGACTGAGTAGCTTAAGTAGCTCAAACACAGTGTGTGTTCAGATTAGGTAGCCATGTTCAAATATATAAAAGGATGTCATATAGAGGAGGGAGAAAGGTTGTTTTCTGCTGCTCCAGAGAAGCGGACACGGAGCAATGGATCCAAACTACAAGAAAGAAGATTCCACCTAAATATTAGGAAGAACTTCCTGACAGTAAGAGCTGTTCGACAGTGGAATTTGCTGCCAAGGTGTGTGGTGGAGTCTCCTTCTTTGGAGGTCTTTAAGCAGAGGCTGGACAACCATATGTCAGGAGTGCTCTGATGGTGTTTCCTGCTTGGCAGGGGGTTGGACTCGATGGCCCTTGTGGTCTATTCCAACTCTATGATTCTATGATTCTATGATTCTAAGGTTCTACAGAAGCTTATGAAGACTCTTCATTGAAAAAGATCGCCAATGGCAGATGACTCGCTGATCTGCCACCTAGACCAGGCTTCTCCTGCAACATGCAGTCTCAGGTGGGTGCTGGATGTGTTCCAGGTGAACTCTCAAATTCATGGAGTCCGGCAGTGAGACCCATGAAGGCCAACAGTGCATGCGGTAATTGAATAGCAAAACAATGTTACAAGATGTCAGTGTAGTGTCAGTCTGATGGTGACTATTTTTTGTACGTTTCAATGGGGAAAATTTCCATTCGAATGACATTAAACCAAATCCCATTTCAAATGTTCTTCAACAGAAGGTAAACCACAAACTTGGGTGATGAATAACCCTCCCCATCGTATTATGTTCCAGGTGCCTCTGAGCTGGTGAGGAAGAGAAGAAGCTGCCACTATTTTTATTGTAAGTGAGAATCACCTGTTGATTTAAGGTGTCAATTTTGTCTAGTGTGAGCCATTAATGAAAGGTCTTTCTCATGTTTTGTTGCTTTCACATTACTCATAGCAAACCACAATCTAAGGTTTTTGTTTCCCAATAGTGGGTCTTAATAATGCCATCATGTCCCTCCCCCTGGGGGGGGGGGGCTCTATGGAAGTGGAACAAAGCCTCCATCTGCCTGAATCCTAAACATATTGTAGTTTTATGTTGTTAACTGCCCTGAGATCTATGGATTAAGGGTGGTATACAAATTTAATAAATAAAATAGAAATACTAAATAAAACTCACACTTATAATTCAATAACACTTGCTCCCAGGTTTGTAAGAATGGTCACAGATCTAGGCTTCCACCCTAGATCTATACTAGTATGAGAGAGAGAGTGCACTTTGAACTTCTTATCTACTCTATTTATTAATTACATTTGATTGCAGATCCTACCCTCCTCTGAGCAGAAACCACACTGTTGCACCAAGTTAACAGAACCACCTACTACACCTAGAATAACCCAGAACAGAGAGAAAGAAAAAGATACAAAACAGGCAGGAATGGGCTTTTTAGATGAACCAACATAACACAGGGAGGCCACGTCACCCCCCCTCCACTGCCCTAACTTACTATAATATCCAGCTCCCCAGGTTTCATTTTTTAAAAAATGAGTAAACTTTTTGCTTATGTTGAACCTAAGATAGGAGGCAAATTGTACAGACACTATCTTCTTTTTGTGTTTGTGAGACAAACTACCCTCCCGTGCGCCTCCCTTCCAGAGTCATGCAGTAACCTTTCAATGAACTGTTGAAGCATACATGTTTGAATATACCAGTATCTACTAGAAGAAGCTAGGTCAGAGCCTTCTCTCTGCCATTCTTGCAGGGAGCTGTATATGCTTCACAAAATTCAAACACACAGCTCCCACCTGCAGTCCGATGGTGTGGCAATCCATGAAAGGCTTTATGACTTGACTCTGCTAATTAATGATACAAACTAAGTCAGTTGACAGCACCAGCAATAAAAGAGAAACAGATTGTTTGGAGGGAGAAAAAACCAGCTAGGTGTTCTTCTCTCAATACTTTATTTTTATTTTTATGAGACATGAAGATAACTGCCTCTGCTTCGGAAATGTGAAGCTAGATAACAGACAAGTTCAGCAGCTACACATGGCCATATTAAGCTGAGTAGGAGGCTGTCAAATGAGATAGGGGCCTTTCTCGAGTCCTCTTTTATTTTTCTTAATGCCTTTATACAAATCAATTATGCAACCACACTTGAAATTCTGGGTACAGAATTCCTGGGTAAGGAATTCTCCTCACCTCAGAAAGTATATTGTGGAGCTGAAAAGGTTCAGAAAAGGGCTAGGGATGGAGGATAAATTCAATTCAGTTTGTGTTTAAAGCTGAGTTTATCGAATTTGCGCATGCACCAAAACACTGATATCTGAATTTTGCAACCCAGTTCTCTAATGATAAAATGTTTACCAAAGTGCATCTATTAGGGGGATGTGTACATAAAAATAAAGATATTAGTGAAAAGAACATGCAAAATGCATTATATCGAGGGGAAATGTTTGCAAAACAATATGTGTACATTAAACAAATTCACACTAAAAATGTTGACAAATTTTCAAGAGGATCCCCCCCCCCCCCCAAGTTCACAAATTGCTGCAAAACAAACTGAATTTGAAACTGGAAAAATGAGGAACTGAGAATTGAAATGGGCAGATCCCTCCATTCCTAAAAAAAAAGGCAACCAAAACATAATCAAGAGGATGAACATTCTTCTCTTTGAGAAAAGGTTAAAATGTTTAGAGCTTTTTACTTTAGAGTAAAGGGGAATAAGAGGAAAATGTTAGAGGTGGATAAAATTATGCAAGTTCTATGCAGAAAATTCTTGGAAACTATAGTTTGCAAGCATGGGTGGGCACATAACAATACCAACAAGAATTTCCCAATACAGAGATTATTGGAAATTGTTTTTTGTCAAGGCTTCTAGTCTCCCAGCATGGGAGCTCATCTATGATCAGTCATGGATGCAGTTAGATGTGCTGTTTGGTCAATCACTTATAAGGACATTTCTCTAGTTTGACACTATAGTTGGGATCAGCATGAACTAATTGGAGTAAAAAGCAAATCTCTAAAAGTCCTAGTGTTTCACTTCCGTTCAGGTTTTGTGCTAATAGGGAATTGTAGACCCAGATAAAGAACACCAGAGTGACTTATTCTGTAATATCATATTTTGTTGTTAAAAAAAAGTTTAGGAACCAGGGCAGAAAGAGAAGCCAAAGTGAAGCAGTAATTGGACAGAAACACTAATGCAATTTAAACTCCAATTTCTCTAGTGACAAACGATCTCGTAAAATTGGTACAAAAGTGAAGTCTTTCTTCCATTACCAAAAAATAAAATAAAAATCTCCCTTTCAAATTGGATTACAGTTCAAAAAAACTGATTCATTTTTACCCTCCCATTCAACTTCACTAAAATTACATGACTGGCAGGGAATAAATTATTTCCTTTTGAATTCCTTAAGCATTTTAATTAATAAAAAAACATCAAACACACTTCTCTTGGGGTGTTTCATGCCTGACTTATTAAGAGGATGTCTTTAGCTAAAATGCCCATCTTTCTGTAGTAAATGCATATGCTCGACATATATTTTGTACATTATTAGTAAAGCAAGTCATCGAGCGACATGCTCCATGCAGCTCATTTTAGATGAGACAAATGCATTTTCATGTCAATAACTGTAAAATACTGCAATTCCATGCACAGGGAAGCCATCCTGATCTTTCCTTTAAAAAAGATAAATGAAATGTACTGACTTCTACCCAGCATTTTTCACTAAGCAGGCATGAGTTCAAAGTGCTACTGAATGTATTTATTTATTTTAACCCCACTTTTCTACAGGAAACCTAAACTAACAATCTCAGATACCCTTAATCTTGCAAGCAAGCAAAAGAAAAGGCTCCTAATCAGTTGGCAATTCTCCATTTGTTTTAGACCACTTTGCATTGCTGAGTTCAGAGTTTTTCAAGTGTTCTTTTTTATATATAATTTATTAGGGGTTCTGCATTATTACAATAGAGCAGTCCCTTATTTCCCCTCCCAGATCCCCTCTGTATGACCTCATGCCATGCTTTTTTTATTTTTTAGCCAAACTATATTCATCACTGATACTCAGTAGTTCAGCATGCTATACAATGTCTCAGTTTGCACACTCAGATAAGGAATAAGATAAAGGAGTATCACTGCATCCATTAAATTGGGGGTGTTTCCATCCCTGAATTGTGCCTCTGACTGCTTCGAGATGTGGGTATTACTCAGTGAAGTTTTTCTTTCAGCCTCACTAACTTTGGGATTCTGTGTGCTGTACAATTTGCACCTTTACTACGCCGAAGCCTGGTATAAAGGTAAAGGGACCCCTGACCATTAGGTCCAGTCGCAGACAACTCTGGGGTTGTGGCGCTCATCTCTCTTTATTGGCTGAGGGAGCCAGCGTACAGCTTCCAGGTCATGTGGCCAGCATGACTAAGCCGCTTCTGGTGAACCAGAGCAGCGCACGGAAACGCCGTTTACCTTCCCGCTGGAGCGGTACCTATTTATCTACTTGCACTTTGATGTGCTTTCGAACTGCTAGGTTGGCAGGAGCTGGGACCGAGCAACGGGAGCTCATCCTGTCATGGGGATTCGAAGCACCAACCTTCTGATCGGTAAGTCCTAGGCTCTGTGGTTTAACCCACAGTGCCACCCGCGTCCCTTGAAGCCTGGTATAGGTATGAGGGGGGGGGAATTAAAATTGTTTGTGGCTACCTTAGAGGAAAGGAAAGGCAACATATACATCCTAGAAACTACCCATTAATTTGCTTTTTCAAAAAGAGAACATGCCTGCTTCAGATATGATATGAAGAACTAAGAGAACTGGATGATTTAGCAGGAGCAGATTGGCACACAAAGTGCAAGAATGGCATTACAGTTTTTAGTGGAGGCTGGCATGCTGGGCAGCAGTCATAAATTTCACATGATGACAGACAGGGCTTTATTTCAGCCGGAACTCAGTTCCAGCACTTCTCAAGGTGGGTGCCATTGCTATTATAAGAGAACAGTGGAGGTGTTCATGGTGAGTTCCAGCACCTCTTTTTCTAGAAAAATAGCACTGAAGGCAGGAAGGGCATTGCTTTGGATTTCCTATTGCACCAATCAGAGGAGTGGTGGAATGAGTACAGAAACCAGCAGCCAGGGAGACAGGAAGAACTGGCCTTATTGTCATCCAGAGCCCTGTATATAGAGCCAACATTCACACCACATATTTAAAGCCTTATGTTATCACTTTAAACAGTCATGGCTTTCCTTAAAGAATTCTGGGAATGTAGACTGTTAAGGATGCTGAGAGCTGTAGGAAACCCCAATTCCCACCACAAAGCCACAATTCCCAAAGTTCACTGGGAAGAGGGTTTGATTGTTTAAATGCTCTGAGAATAGTAGGCCTGTGAGGGCAATAGAAGTCTCCTAGCAATTATCTGAACCCTTAACTACAGCTCCCAGAATCCTCTGGGGGGAGTTAGGACTGTTTAAAATGGTATCAGTGCTAGACTGGGAATGTGGCCAGTATGTCTCAAGACAACAACCCTCTTTATCCATTATTTGCATGTGGAACATGAGTGTGAAGTTAAAAGCAGGTGCTCTAAGCCTACCTGCTTGTGTGGGTGTCCTGATAATGCGGAATCCCCACTCACAAGTAGGAGTTCCCAGGTTGGGCTTTCTTTTCACACAGGGGCAGAGAAGGGGCTGGCCTAAGCCATTTGATCCTGTGACAAGCCCACTGCTGTTGTGCGATGCTAGGCCAATCACTGTCACTTCTGCTACAGCCTCAGCTGCTTTGCACAGCAGGGCTACCCTACTGCTCCATAAAGCCCTACCAGGGTGAGGTAGGAAGTTAGGGCTGTTCCCTAAGACAAGAGGAGTAGCAGCTTCTCACATTCATCAGATGCTACAAAGCAGCACTAGCTACTTTGATCCTTTTCTTATAACCTCCGTCCAGTCCAATATTACAGAACAGCCTCAAAAATGTAATGAGTGAACAAGCATCCAAAAGTGAATTGGTAACATAAGTGAGTCTCTTTTTACAGTGCAAAGCTGTGTAAAAACAGGAGTACTTTTGTCATAATAGCTTCAGAAGAATCATGCCATTTACTTTAGCTTTTAATGCCGCTTTAAATTGCTATTTTATTACCCTTGTTGACATTCTGGAAACATGAAATTACCGAATCACATTGGGGGGTGGGGGAACCTTGTTAAATAATACAAGTCTAGGCCACAAATGTGAATCATGTTCTTACCTTAAATAACAAAGGACATATTTATTTTAAATTCTTCTCTTTTTTTATGCCTCCCTCTTTGAGAAAGAAATGCTGTTAAGCAACTGCAAAAACTATCATGTTGCAAGTAAATTTGTCTGTGACCTTGAACAAAAGACTTTTATTTTCTCAGCAGAAGGTAAAAAAAAAGTATCTTAAAATATATAGTGCTCGTTCACACTAGAAAGACTTGGGTAGGACTGCAGCCTATTGAATGCTATTGTTGAACTTTGCCTTCCACCACAAGTTTTATCTATTTTAATTAATAAAACCCAATGTTCATGAGTTCAAACTTCAGTTTTGTTTGGCCCTTTCTTCTGTTTCTTGAAAATGAAGGGATTTAAATGCTGTTTGAACTTCTAAAAGAGTTTAATCTAATATATCTAATATTGCTATATAATAAAGCTTCACTGGGCTTTCTCATTACTCAAGGAGACTCCCAAACTGCAGCAGCATTTTACATCTTTCCTAATCTCCTCCAAAATGGATGCAAGGTCCAATATCCAAACTTGAAATACAGAATTGTGTTCTGTACATGCACACCATTTTATATGACCTCTATTTTTATGGGGATTTGGTGCTAAAACACTCAAGCAAATAGGGAAACTGGACAGGTGAGATAAACCAAAGCACCCAGTTCATGCTACAAAATGAGCATCTGTCCAGAATGTGGAATTTAACAGAATAATTCAGTACTGAACCAACATACCCAGTGATCCAAAGCAGGACAGAGTGGTCCCATTTTATCATTTGTATGGTGACATTTCCCACCCAGTCATCCATGGTAAAAGCTTTCAAAGTGAACAAGTCCTACTCTGTCTCACTAATATAAATATGTGCCAAAATTCATCCCGCAGTTTCTCTAAGGTTTTCCTCCTCTGCAATAGAGGCTTTTACTTTTCTGCCTCCTTCCCTGGGCGCTTTAGAATTTCTTCTGAATTACTGTTTGTGTGGAATTTTTAGATTACTGTACTGTTGCAAGGTGATCATGCGGGGTGCATTTGCTTTGCTTTCTAGTAAACATTTCTCTGGCCCTCTGCAGCCTCACTCCATCTGTTCATGCTTCCTAATCTGCAGATGGTGGCTTCTTCTGCCCTTTGATTGAATCTCAGGCACCCAGGGAGGCTGCAGTGTGCAGACCACTTGTGAAATGATTCATAGGACACTCACAAACAGCCACTTAAAAAGTATGGTAAATGCAACAAAACCCCTGTACCCAACCCATGAGAATTTCACACACCCCAAAGTCCCCCTTTGAGTAATTTTTGAATGCCATTTCTTTTCTCAGTCACTGATGGAGAATTGGGGGAAGGGGTGCAGGAGAACTTCTCAACACAACTCTGTTAATGTCTAACCACACCCTTAGAAAGGATGAAAATGGATTCACCTCTGGCAAAATCTGTTCATGCCCATTTACAAGAAGAAGAAGAAGAGTTTGGATTTGATATCCCGCCTTTCACTCCCCTTCAGGAGTCTCAAAGCGGCTAACATTCTCTTTTCCCTTCCTCCCCCACGACAAACACTCTGTGAGGTGAGTGGGGCTGAGAGACTTCAAAGAGGTGTGACTGGCCCAAGGTCACCCAGCAGCTGCATGTGGAGGAGCGGAGACACGAACCCGGTTCCCCAGATTACGAGACTACCGCTCTTAACCACTACACCACACTGGCTCTCAAGAAGATTTGCCCCCAAACAGAAAGCTCTAAAGCCTTTCCAGACCTTTCTTGTCCTCCCTTCCCAAGTAAAACAGCTCATGTGGAATTCCCAGTCACAATCAGTTGTGGAGATGATGTTTGCGGCAAGAAATCCAGAAGAGAAATGGGTCTGGATCCTTACCTGTCTGCTCAGGCCTGGATTTAGACTTCTAGAGGGCCTATTAGTGAACCACCATCTTAGGGAAGCTGCCTTATATGGAAGCTGCCTTATACTGAGGCAGATAATTGGTCCATGTAACTTAGTATTGTCAACAATGACTGGCAGTGGCTGTCCAGGATTTCAGACAAGGAAATTTCTTAGTCCTGCGTGGAGATACCTGGAACCTTCTGTAGGCCAACCTGCTTGTGCATTGTTATTCCTCATCATGCCTGAGTAAAGCACAGTGGTCGGTTCTTTCCATTTGTGTTTATGTACTGTTCTGAAGTCACAGTTTGCTCTTGAGGGCACTTTCCATTTGTCTCAGGTTTCCACAACATCCTCGGGTTAATCGATAGAAACGACCAGCTTCCTAATAAAACTGCAGCTACAATATAATGAATTTTGAATGAGGAATGATTTCTTTAAGTGTTGCTGAGCGTTACACATTTACACTGTGCTGAGGGATGTGTGCGAAACTTTCCTCTGAAACTTTCAGGCCTTGACTTTGATGTATTAGACTCGGCCTCAAGTCTCCTTTATTGAGCACTTGGCTCTTGGCAACATGCAAGAGATACAGGAGAGAAAAGAGTCTGAAGGGCATAAGAAAAGCTAAGGACACATTTCTCAGGACACAAAGACCCTCCAAATATGGATTCTTTTTAACAAAAAAATGTATCTGTCACACTTTTAAATCAACTTCCTCTACTTCCAAGGGCTCATTTCTGCCAAGGAATGAATTTTAAAGTAGAAAATGCAGACAAATAAGAACCTCACCATTGAGTCACTCATCACCTTCCATTCCTACAGATCTAGGGTAGCAGGTGATAGTGTTCAGGTTTGAGGGCAGTGACTTCCAAGCAGGCATAACATGAAAATTGATGAAGCTCAGCATATATCCTCCTTACCATTTAACTGTCTTTGATATGACAAGAAAGCACCCTTCCAGAATAACCATGCCTAGAAATTGCAATGCTGTGGTTGTGAATACCGTACAAATGCATAGATGGGGATGGGAGAGAAAATTGATTCAGTTTGCATTTAAAGGCGAGCATAGCTAATTAGTACTTTCCCAAAGAATAGGTGAACCGGACCTCAGCCATCCTTTGAAATTCACATCTTGCAATGCAGTTCTCTAGACAAGTAATACAGTATGTATACACACACAGAGAGAGAGAGAGAGAGAGAGAGAGAAGAGATTCACACACACGCATCTACACAAACACATATGGTAAAATATGCATATAAATGCATATATCATCCAAAACTGCATTTTCAAAAATGTGTAAACTAGACAAAATTGTGTAGAAATGCATATATATTAGGAGAACTTGACATGAAAATGCTGGTGAATTTCTATGAAAACTTTTTTAAAAAGTAAATAAATCACAAACTGATGTTGAAACAGCGTGGAGAACTAAACTTAAGATTGGAAAAATGTGAAACAGAGAGAAATGGAAAGTAACAAGATTCTCCCATACATACATATGGAGGCAAGCTAGCAGAAATAGCTTCCTTTTAATTCCCATGCCTATACACCCCAAATATCTCTGTTTTAAAACTTTTTCCTTTCCTTTGATTCCACAGAGGAAGTCCTTTAGAATTGCCTCCTGTGGCAGAACAGAATGCCAAATTTATTCAGCTGCATAGCTCAGTCAGTAGAGCATGAGAATCTTAATTTCCAGGCTGTGGATTTGAGCCCCACATTTGGCAAAAGATTCCTGCAATGCAGAGGGTTGGACTAGATGACCCGCACAGTCCCTTTGAACTCTACAGTCCTATGATCCCATGAACTCTATTTTTTTACGAGGGGAGAATGGAAGTTACACCATTGGTACCTATTGAACTCCGTGCTTTTAAAGAAGCGGTAGCACACTGTGGCCTTGATAATACACAGAAATGGGAAGTTTGTGATTTATCTCCTCTCCTTTACTCCTTCATCAGATCATTTTCCAAAGTATAATCAGCCAGAGTTCACTAGGAACCTGTAGTGACTGATCCCTTTATTACCCGATTCATCATACTGCAGGTACTTACACAAGGAAGAGGACTCCATCAGTCAAATGCTAATGTTGACTAGTTTCTAGCTGGCAATAAAGCACTAAAGGCTTTTAAGTATTAAAAAGGGGGGACGTTAACCTCACGATTGTCACTAGGTCAAAGCCTTCAGAATGGTATTGTTGTTTGCTGTTGCTGCAACGATTCAGGTATTTTATTTTATGCTTCAAGTTTTTTCATCCTTTTTTTCAGAATTTCAGTACAGTGACTGTACAGTCATACCTCGGGTTACAGACACTTCAGGTTGCGTTTTTTCAGGTTACAAACCGCTGAAACCCGGAAGTACTGGAATGGGTTACTTCTGGGTTTTGGTAGTCGCGCATGCGCAGAAGCACTAAATCACATTTTGTGCATGCGCAGAAGTGCCATATTGCGACCCGCGCATGTGCAGACGTGCCACTGCAGATTGCGGACACTGCGGGTTGCAAACATGCATCCCGCACGGATCACGTTCACAATCCGAGCGTCCACTGTACTATCAAACCAGAATTGTGTTGGGAATTTCTGAGTTTCTAAAATGAATAAAGTTGTATTTAAAGTAAGTTATGTCAATGATGTTCATGTTTACCATTTCCTCAAAATGAAGTCTCATTGAGTTGAAAAGGGCATGTCCCGGAGAAAGTATCATAGAATGGAGACAGCAAAGCAAGCTTAAAGAAACAACCACCCAACTCCTGTCTTTGTGACCTATGTGCAGAATGGGATAAACTGTCCATCTGACTCCCAACATAGTGTAGTGGATTAGGGGATTGGACTGCAGCCTACAAGAACTGGATCTTTCAAACGATCCAAAGAAGCTCTTGTGCTTCAGTTTGCCACTTGGAAAATACAGTGGTCTAAAGGATAAAGTAGCCTTGATTTTAGATTCACTGTCAGAATTTGGGGCATGCCAAGGCAAGTACCTATCCATCTTCCAAGAAGCCATTGATAGCTGAATCCTCCCGGAATTTGTCTAAACCTCTTTCAAAGCCATCGAAGTTGGTTCCCATCACTACATTTTGTGATATTGTGCTTCATAGCTTCACTGTGTACTTGATGAAGAAGCACCTCATTTTGCCTGGATTTAATCTTCTTCCAAAATCCCCAGGGCATTCTGGGGAGAAAACATGGTTTCCCCTGTGAATAACTTTTAGCCACATTACAGAAAGACCATCTTACCCTCTGTGAATTGTATTCACATTCCTTCCACTGAAGATCAAACCAACTGAGGTCCCCCCCCCCCCGCCCTCCACCTCAACATGATGAAAAAGCTAGACTTAATACTTTGGGCCAACAATAATTGAAATTCAAGGTTTAGGCGGGCACAAGTAGCTTTGCAGAAATTATGTCACAAGTTAGACCTGATTTCTAGGTGGCTTTTGCCTCTGCACTGTGCATGGAGGAACAATTTGTATGAATTAGCTCTACATTAAAAAATTTAAACGCGTTCAGATTTTCTAACACAAAACCTGTTTTCTGCAAACAGCATGTGAAAACCAAGTTTGTGAGGTTTTGCCACCTTAAAAACGAAACATGTGAATTGGCCCTTAGCTAAACTGGAAATGTGAATGTAGGTCAAGAACTCAGACTCATAATGAGATCTGAGCCAAAGTTTTTAAAGGGGAAAAAAACAGTTAAAAGGGGATTGGAAAGCTTTCCCCAAACAAGCCCCTGCCCCCTCTTTACTTTTCCATAGCTGCCAACTTTTTATCTGATTATGGTGGCTTGTGATCTGACAGAATATATTCAAAGCACAACAAACTGGCTTCCACACTGTCTCAGTGTCACTGCTGTATAATCAAAGATTCAGGTGACAAGGAACCAGGTGAAAATTGTGATCAATGTGTAACTTTGGCCCTCAGAGCCTTTGTTAGGAATGCCTGCCTTTTATAGCCACGTTCAAAAGCGTGACACATTCTGACACATTTCTGAAAGCATGCATAGACATTCTTACCCCCCCTCCAACCCCCCCCCCCATTTATTCATTTTGATCATTTCTTGGCTGCCTGCATTGTTCCTTGATTTAGAGAACCCTAAGAACATAAAAAGAGCCTGCTGAATTAGGCCAACAGCCCCTCTAGTCCAGCATCTTGTTCTCACAGTGGTCAACCACTGTGGGAAAGCTGAAAGAAGTACAAGGAAACTCTCCCCGATATGGTTTCTAGCAAATGGTATTCAGAAGCATGCCACCTCCAACCCTTCATTAGATCACATTCAGGGCAGGGTATGTTGGAGAAGGGGAGACTTCAGGCTTTTTAGATCAATTTTGCTTTGGTTTTTATTTTTCTTTAAACAGAGCCAGGTGCAAACATCAATCTGGAGAAAACCTGAATTGCCATTTGCTCCAATTGAGCCCTAAAGAGCAGTTTTCCCCTGAGGAAGCAGCAGGACAAGAGGAAGTGTAGATAAACCCCCACTCACACTGTTCCCACTATCCCAGAATATTCATTCTTTTGGATGTCTGACTTATCAATCAAAATTAATCTCATTTCAATTTCAGTTCATCATTTTGACCTCTGAATGTCTCTTTTCCTTAAGACTCTGTCTTCCAGTTATAGTCATTATACTTCCCATTTCTGTTTATCTGCAAACCCCATTAATTTTAATGACCACAACTCTATAGTTTTCAAAATAGTTTTGCTTTGTTTTTCAACAGAATTTTGATTTTTAGAGCATTTTCTCCAGCGTATAACACAGCAGATTACAGCTGTAAATGTACTATCTAGAAACAAAGGACTGTAGAGTTGGTTTTGTTATGAATGGTGACATCCCATAATTGAGATAAGACAGTAGATGCTTTGTCTCTCAGAGTCCTTGATTCATATTTCAGCATGAGTAGGTTAGTCACTCTGTCAGCTGGCTTAAATTACACATTCTTACATGAGTCAGCATAATTTATACTAATGCAAGGGTCAATTTCAGGTAGCGGCATTTATCAGGTAGTAGCACACTGTAGGTGAAACTCACATCAGCCTTTTCTTCTTCCAAAGACATCCTACAAAGCAGTGGAGGTTTAGGACCAGAGTTTTCCTTCTCCTAGATGGGCTACGTTTCCAGGCTGATGAGCCCCATCTGCCCCTCACTTCTTGACTGTTGGGCCCACTATTGGTCTTGTCCACTCAATCTGCCAGGATGTAAATTCTGGTTCTTCTCAATTTCTCATTTTTCCAGTTCACAACATTTCTGCATCAGTTTGAAATGGTGTTTCTTTTTTCCCACTCTTGAAAATTAGTCAGCATTTTAGCAAACAGTTCTCATACACATTTTTTTGCATGCAATTTTGGCTAATAAACACATTTTTGTAAGCAATTTCCTGTAACATAATGCATTTTCTATGCTACGTTCACTGATAAATGCATTTTATCTACGCTTTCTCCTAATATACACAATTCTGTACACTTTTTTTGGTTGGAGTACTGCATTCCAAGATACAGATAATTTAGAAGGATAGCTGCCTTTTAGTATGTGTATTATTCTGGGAAATGCAAACCACATTGGTTCCCATAAAAATGTGAACTGAAATTCCCCCATTCCTGTGTGATAAAATCTCCCCATACTTCACTGCTTCCAGTCCTAATCATGATAACAGTTTTAAAAAGCTCTAAACACCATAGTACCCTTTCATATTGCTGAAGTCTATAAAGAATCCATTTCACTCTCCAGGCTCTATGTCCATGCCCAGCGGGAGTGCGGGGGCAGGATCTTGAGTGTGCATTCCTGGCATTGGACAATCAGGATAGATTAGGGATTCTGCTGTTTTTTTGCCAGCCTCGCTGCCCAGCATTCTCCCTGCCTGAGCTCACAGAGATGGTCTCAGAGGCCATGTTGAGGACTCCCAGACTGCTAGTTCTGGAGGACTTCTACATCCATGCCAAGGTGACTGGCTCTGGGGTGGCTCAGAACTTAATGGCTGCTATGGTGACTATGAGGCTGTCCCAACATGCCAGGGTTCAGTTTTATCCCCCATACTGAGATCTGGAGGATGGCAACACAAGAATGGGCCTTTTCTGTGAGATCTTAAGTTGAAGGGTAGTGCAAATAATAATAACAACAAAAACATATGGATTAATAAATAGCCAACTGACTGGTGAAACCCTTCATAGCAGACTATGCCCAGAAAGGTCTGTTATTCACAGCCTTATTTCAGCTACATGGCATTGAGAAGCAACTGCCACCCCACGGCACTGAAAGGGGCATAAGTGTTATTTTTCCTAAGATAAACAGAGCAATCTCTGCTCATAACTATACCTCTATACCTGGTCTTCTTTCCATCATTTTTGAAATATACTCGGAGTCGAGAGTGGATTTCATGCTATTTATTCAACTCATAGTGGTGAGGAGGAGTGGAAGTTCCCTCAGAATGTCCCCTTTATATACATTATTTACACAATGGGCCCCACGTGATTGGCTAATTCCAGGATTCTCCTGCAGGCCAATCAGGTTGCGGATTCACTTCCACCTGGAGCTGGATTGGGTGGCTCCTGTGGACTAATCAGACTGCTGCATTCTGGATCCTATTGTTCTAGGACCAATCAGACTGCTGCATTCTGAATCCTATTGTTCTCGGACCAATCAGACTACTGCATTCTGAATCCTATTCAACTCAGTACATAACAATTTTCCTTATGAATTCATTCTCCTTGAAAATGGATGTCCACAACTGGACAAATGTTTGACCTCACCAGTACCTTATAGAAGGCTATTCATCCTCCTCCACCTGTTCTACAAAAACTTTGCCTAATTACTTCCAAGAATTCCAACCAGTCTTTTTGCAGCTGCATCTTATTGATGGCATGTAGTTTTCTTCTGATTAAGAGGTTGTATCACAAGATCTTACCACCACTGCCACTTCCAGATCTGTTTTGCCGATAGATAGGATAACAGAACATGTTTGCTCTTTGTCCATTTGTGGTGCTCTTTACACTCCATTTGTTTAGCTCCATTCCCTTGTCATTAGACCACTTTGTTTGGTCAGCCACTTCATCCAACATGACTTAATTTCCATTGTGATTCATCCAGTTGGTTAGTTGTAGATATACCATCTAACCTGTCTCAAATTACATTTTCTCTTCATTGGTGATTGAAGTTCATGAGGTTTCATTATTCTTCTGGATTTATATTTAAAAGCTGGCATTTTACCTTTTATACAAAACAAGGCCAAATGAAATCATCAGACTCCTGTGAGCAAAGTAATGCAAACACTTGAAAGATAAGAGCTTCTGAAGTGGATTTTCTTGCTTCTTCCCTTCTGTTATAGCACCTTAGCCATCTTGTAAATCTGATCCCAGGGGTCAATGGATTCTCCAGAATAACGTAGCTGCACTGAGGGATTGGCAGAAATCAACTGGAGGTAATTTCTGTTCAGGCCAAAGCTACATGCAATAATGGAGATCCATACTGGATCTCCCATTTCTTTAATTTGTTTGTTTGTTTTTGTTTGTTTGTTTGTTTTACAAAGAAACTAGCCACTTAAAGAAAGCACTATTCAGACAATGGCAAAAATGGAGTAGTGTTTGCCTTCACACAACGTTCTCCAGGGGAGGGGGGTTATTGGGTTGTTTTTGTTTTTGTTTTCATTATGTATTTTGTGCTTTTATATTCTGATTTTATCCTGTGAACCACCCAGAGACCTGCGGGTATAGGGTGGTATACAAATTTAATTAGTTAGTTAGTTAGTTAGTTAGTTAACTCTCCCAGTGAAAGAATATTTTACACATATTCACGCGTTTTCCTTATCAGGGCAAATAGTAGCTTTAAAGACTGATTTTCTTTCCTTTTTATAAAAGGAAAAATACAGTTTTATAGTGTACAAAAAATGTTACTTTTAAGCCCATCTGATATTTGAGAAAGAATAGAAGCTTGTCAGTTTCAAGAGGAAAAAAGGGATCCATTATTCAGTTTATTTCTTTCCATATGAACAAAATTTATTTTTAACAGCATTGTTCTATCAGAAATGGTTAGGCTTAGGTTTATTAAATTCATGTATCACTTCCAACTAAAAGAGTCCCAAAGCGATTTGCAAGCAGGTAAAAAAATTCAGTGGTACGATCACATACATATATTAAAAACATATTTAACAATACAATACCCTATTGATTATTCTGTCCAAGTGCCTGGGGAAACTGAAATTATGACAAAGTTTGTGCTAGGCTTTGTTCCATGAATGGAAAGATACTACAGAGAAGGCCTGTAACAGGAATCAATGTCATCTTGTCCAGTCAGATGGACGGCATATAAATAATAAAATTATCATCATCATCATCATCATCATCATCATCATCACAATTGCTTGGGCCTTAAATAGTACCCTCTGGATCCTGCTCATGGAACCCTCTCCCAACTCACTGCCATTAAGCTTAGGAAAAAGCTGAATACCAGCATGGGGTCAATAATCACTAGAATCACAGGAGTGGAAAGAGTTAACTAGTTTAAGGGTTATCAAGCAGGGAAAAAGAGGGCTGGATGAGAAATTGTATGAAATACCTCTGGTCTCACCCACTGCAATTTCTGATCCCACCCACTGGCAGAAAGCAGTTTACCGCCAAGATAATTCAGCTCTTGATGGAAAAAAGTTTGACCATTCCCACTCTCATTGCTGTAGTGTTTCAAGGCTCTACAAGTCAATGTTGGTCAATGGCCAGGGATGATGGGAGATGTAGTTCAGTAACATCTGAAGGGCGAAAGGTTTCCCACAACTGCAATATATGAATTGAAACACAGCTATCTTTCAAAATTCACATTTCCCTGAATTTTGCATGCAGGTATCTATCCAATCATACAATGATGCACATCAAAAAATATATCAATTAGTGAAAACAATATAAAAATGCATTATATTAGGGAACATTGTTTGCAAAATGTGTGGAACAGACAAACTTGTGTAGAAAAAATGAACACTGGACAATTGTATGTACAAAAATGTGTGTTTGGAAAATACACACCCAAAATTATTATGCATTTCATGTGGATTTCTTTTCTTTTTAATGCAACCTTATGTAAAAATTGGGGGAACGGAACTTATAAATGGGACACTGAGAAACTGAGAGATTCATTCATCCCTAATGTGATAGCAAGGGATGTGAATCTAAGAAAATAAAATTTCCTTGTGAGTTATTTCATTCTAAGACAAATCACATCTAGAATAGTTCTCATTGTGAACCTCTTGACTTTTAATAGATTTGCTCAGGATGTATATGATATGGAGAATATTAACCTCTAGTCTTCTGTGGGAACAATTTCCCAACAAATGGATGGAACCTCTCTAGTACATATTTTAGAAAGGCTTTGACCAGTGCTATAAATTGGAGATGTGAAAAGCTGCTTAATCTTTTATCATTTCTTTCTGCCCTTTCTCAGCTGGGAAGACATGGAAAGATAAGATCTGGTCATCCATTAATCTTCCTTTTTTTTTTTTTTTTACAATGACAGGTGCTTAGAAACAAAACGTTAGAAGGGGCCTTGCTGTCTAACTCCACAATCTGAGGCTGGAAACTATATATTAATGGTATAGCCACCAGATGCCTGTATCGCCCTTTCTTCAGCCTCAAACAAGTTTTCATCACTTCCTTAGGCACCATGTTTCACTATCCATGCATTTGAAAAGTGTGCTTTTCTTTGTATAGAGCCTAAATCTCTCTGCTTATCACTTTAACTTATCTCTTTTTGTCCTTCCCCCAAGACAGGGCTGCATGGTTCTCACCTACATTATCTGAAGGTCGCTCTCATATCCCCCTCTAATCTTCCTTTTCTCGAGGCTAAACATGTCCAGTCTCTTCAACCTTTTCTCATACCGATTGAACTTCAAATCATTTGTCATTTGTAAGCTACTCTTCAAAGCCTTCCCTGACTTGTTGATGTTCCTTCTGAAAGTATCACTTTGAATCACATATCAAAGGAAAGAACTCACAGGTCCTGTTGCATTCTAAGATTTAAAGTAGGGATGGGGGATCTGAGGCCAGGGGCCCTATAGTGGCCCTTCAGTCTTCCCTATCTGGCCCTATGGATTCCAGATGGACCACTGGCCTGATCCAGCAGGCTCTTCTATTGTTCTTAGATACCTTTCTGAGTCACACCTTTCACCACCACTGCTTTCCACCCTCAGATGTTTTTGCTTGGCAGAAATGAGTCCTTGAATGCTGATAATGCTTCTTGCTTTCCCAGGTTGAAGGAAAGAGAGGGATAAGTGGGTGTGTAGAAACAAGCATACAGTGCAAAAACCATAGAATTGCAGAGCTGGAAGGAGCCCTGGGAGCCATGTAGTCTAACCGCCTGCAATGCGGTTAGACTACATGGCTCCCAGGGCTCCTTCCAGCTCTGCAATTCTATGGTTTGATCATATATGATCAGATGGCCATCCAACCTCTGCTTAAAAACATCCAAGGAAGGAGCTCTTACAGACCGAAAATTCTTTCTGATGTTTAGTCAGAATCTCTTTCCTTGTCATTTCAGTCCATTGGTTCAGGTCCTAGCCACCAGAGCAGCAGAAAACAAGCTTACCCCATCTAGGATGTGACAGTCCTTTAGATAATTCACGTCTGTGCATTTTGACCATTGGTCCTGCCCACCACTAGCATGTGATGCCCAGAAGTTGACCCATAAAGCAGATGGTGTGTTAGCCCTATGCTGACCTCAGTGACACTTTGCTGCTCCCCCTTTCCATTCCAGCATGCAGCAGCCTGAGATATGAGGCAAGACGTGCAGGCACTAGTCTCTTTATTCATTTTGTGAGAATCCAGCCTGATCCTTCCTTTGAGTGTTTTTAGCCAGTGTGAAGTCATCATCATCATCAACAACAACAACAATTTATGAGAGCCACATTACAGATATAGGCTTACCTGTCCTCTTGGAATGGGAACAAGAAGGGTGAAATCACGCGCTTTAATTGGGGTTTAAATAGGGAAAATTCATGGGATTTCCAGAATGGATTCTCTTTGTCAAAAGGAAGGTACCATAATCACTGCCAATAGCCACTGCTACTTCCTAGGCAGCACTATCAGCCTGTAATCACAAAACACTTAAACTGGAGTTGAAACTGAGATTAGATTAAGCCAACCTTTTCGCTACAATCACTGAAACTATCACACACTTGTCTGTTTGTTGTGAAATTGGTTCTGAAGATCATTTATCACTGACAGTGTCTTCCTTTTGTGTGAAAGATGTGCTTATCAATAAGAGGCAAGGTAGCACATGATAAGCTTAACCTATGTAAACTAACATAATGTTTTGTAGACACCAGCATTTCCTTAAATTTATGCCTTGTTCCAGATTTACTGAAAACTAGGGCTTTGTTTGAGACTCTGAGTAATATAAGCTGAGTGCTTTGTCAAGAACAAATGCATAAAAGAGGCAAGTAAGATTAAAATGGTAGCATTTTGAAAAGCTCAGGAAGCCAGTGTTTGAGTACCCTAGAGCACAGTTTGCTATATTTGTGTATCACGCTTATAGGTGCTATTTAAAAACATTCATCGCTTTCAAATTCATCTCTCAGGTTACATACAAATGACATTAAAAGGATTGTTATTACACATTTCCATTGTACAAAGGCACAGCTAGATTTGACACATAAACAGTGAATGTATAATCAATGCACTGATGACTAAAAGATTAAGGCAATCCTTTGCCTTTGCAATGAAATACTTCAGTCCTTGGATTTCAACAGAAACATGCTCATTGTGTGTGACCTGATTGCAAAGGCCTGTCAAATTTTAACAACCAATTCTGCTTTTATCAGGGGTTCACTGCAAGAGCTCCACAAGAAGATTGTGTTGTAAAGTAAGAAAATGAAAGTCAAAGGCCCATCCGTTCCTTTCAGAGGGCCTACCACATTCCATCTTCCTAAAACATACAATTTCTGCATCTTATCTTGCTCAATACTTGCATAGATTTTAGCTTCCAACCCTGGAAGGAATCATATGAGAATGTTTCACTAACAACTATACCCATTCCCACTATAAAAACTATTGGAAATTACATCATATAAAATATTCAATGTTTTTAGCCTAAGATGTGCAATTTGAAAATCACCTACGCCAATATGTCCAGAATGTCAAACTTGACTGTCTAGAGCATGGGTAGGCAAACTAAGGCCCGGGGGCTGAATCCGGCCTAATTGCTTTCTAAATCTGGCCTGCGGGCGGTCCGGGAATCAGTGTGTTTTTACATAAGTAGGATGTGTCCTTTTATTTAAAATGCATCTCTGGGTTATTTGTGGGGCATAGGAATTCGTTCTTTTCCCCAAAAAATATAATCCAGCCCCCCACAAGGTCTGCGGGACAGTGGATTGGCCCCCTACTGAAAAAGTTTGCTGACTCCTGAGTACATCATTAACTCTGGGAGAAAGGTACATCTCTTTAGGCAAGTTCTGGTATTTGCCTGAAAATGCAAACTCTGTATCTTTGTATGAGGCACAGGATGCACACAAGGGAGAGTGTCTGTTGGAGGTTTCTACTGAAGTGCAACCCTCAACACAACTTTATCATGGTCCCTGATTACGCAACTCATGTTCAAGCAATTGCAAGTACAAACCCCCTGCAGACCTTCCTTGCTCAATGCAGAGAATGCCAGGGGTTGAAGGGGAGAGACATTGTGCATGAGAATTGTTGGATGGATTTAGATGAGTAGGAGAGGATATTTTACTTATTAATCATCCTTCCTCTTTTCACTAGTGTGAGAATGCACATACCTATTTCATCAGAGTAATATCACCATCTATTTGCAACTCAACTCCAGAAGCTTTTAGGACAAGGTTGTATAACCTTCTAGAACAAGTCTGATATCCAAGGATGCTTAGGCAAACTTGGATTATCTTCTCCCTTTTAGGTTTCCCTCTTAACAAAGATATCACTCTCAGACCATTTAAGTAAACAAGAAAAATATAAGGTTTACTCACTTATCAAAGTCTTGCCAGGATTCAACAGATACAGTGATGAAAATCAGGCAGGGGATAATCCTTAAAAATTACAAAAGTCCATGGTCCAGTTCAAAATGGAGTGTGCTCTCTGGAGAAGAGCTCACAGACAACCTACCCCATTGCATGTAGGAAGAAGAGTGTGCAGTGACAGGAAGAAGAAGATTAAGGTTCTATTGTTTCCCATCCTGACACACAAGTTTCAAGGATATGACATCATAGGTCCCCTGCTTGAGACTTTCCAGCAAGCATACATTTGTGATTTGGCTGCAGATTATCCCACAAGAATTTGGCAGAGAGGATGATGTGAACACACCAGACCCCAACCACACTTTCAGCATCCGCATGTGCAGGCAAATATCTAAGCACACCTTTCCTCCAGGATGCTTCTGGCATTTCTGCTTGAGAACTACAGGATCATGGCAAAGTGCTCTTAGGATACGTGGTTTGGAAAAGTAGAACTGAACCCATCAGTATACAAAGAACTGTTAAATGGATGCAAGAGTGTGCAGCAAACTAGCAATAAGACTGAGACAATTTTGTCTTTCTTCAGGTTCCAGAACAAAGGAATCTTTTCTCAGGTTCTTTCATTCCAAGTTGCAGAAACTCCTTAAGTTCCTTGGCACATATAGTCTCCCATGGCCACTACCAGGAACTTGTCAATCCACAAGCAATACATTAATGAAGAATCATAGAATGATGGAACCACTGCAGGTCCACACATAGAATTTCCATAAATTCAGTTGTCTCCAATGTTATTTTCTTTCAGATGTCAGCTCATTGTTTTCTCAGGCATATGGGAGTGCTTCAGAACCGGATTGCTGCTGCATTGTCTGTAATTTTGACTCGTTGTTATTTTGATGCTTTGGGTTTTTTGATATATATTGGTTTTATATTGTTGAGTTTCTGGTATAGATATGTGTGCCTTGATAGATTGTTATGTACCACCATGGGAACCTTCTGGTTACAGGGCAGAGTGCACTTCCACCACCTTATAATTCCCCATGTTCACAGGAGAGTAATCACCATTATATCCCTGCCATGGAGAACTGAGAGAGGTTGTCCCTATCCCTTTCCGTCGACTTTAGCAGAAGGCTGCTTTGAGCTGCTGCTGCTAGTGGTGCTGCTGGACTGTGACATCCTTTCGTAATCCATTGATAACGCCAAGGTTGCAGGTTCAACATCTGTATGGGACAGCTGCATACAGTATTCCTGCATTGCTGGGGATTGGATGAGAAGATCCTCAGGGTCCCTTCCAACTCTGCAATTCCATGATTCTGTGCTGGCCAGGATTGAAGAGAGTTGGAGTCCAACAACATCTGGAGCATCACAGATTCCCTATACCTGTTCTAGGAAGCCATTGAAGACAACAGTCCTCTCACTTTTTGCTTCCTATCAAAACGAAGGTTCCATATAATGATCATGGTCACTACTGATTGTTCATGAATTTGCCCAATCTTCTTTTAATGCCTCCTGAACTAGGGACAATGCATCCTCTGGTGACCTACTGCTTATTTTAATTTCTATTCTCTCCTGCCCCTGTTTTTTTCAACCACACTCTGGTTGTGCTTTCATTTTCATTTCATCTTCTCTCTCTCTCTCTCTCTCTCTCTCTCTCTCTTTGCCTCAGTCTTTGAGATATTCCGTAGACTACAGACTTGTCAATATACGCACAGCCAGAGGGGCTGTGTCTGCTAGACGATGACTCCAAAGCATTTGACACCCCCTCCATCAGTCAGTCTTGAATCAGGCTGCTATTTGCACCACAAAGTGGTATTGATATTAAATGGGCAGCATATACAAGGGGAATGTGGCAATTGTCTGTAGCACAATGCCTCCGGGGAAGGACATCGTGCTTACTAGCTTCCCATTGATTTTCTAAATAGAATTATAATCAAGAACTAATTTCAAGCCAAGTTCAATTTCACTAAGATTGAATAAAGCATCCTATCAAATTGGTTACTCTGCATCAAACAGACAGAGATAACATTCAAAGGACTGTAATTTGTTCAGAACAATTTCAAGTTCACTGTGGTACTTGGGTAGGAGAATGATAAGATTTACTGATACCCTTCTCAGTTAAGCTTAATGTCTGGAGCAACACTTTAAAATGATCTTACCTGTGGTTATGTGGGGGGGGGGGCTTAAGTTTCCTCACACCTGCTTAGTCTTTGTACCTGCATAATTGGATCAATTGTTTAAAGTACTGTATTTACATAATGCTGTTCAGTGCCAGCATCTGTTTAAAAATAGGCACAGTATTTATTTGCTGCAATTATTATTATTGTTGTTGTTGTTGTTGCAGCAGCAAATAAATTATTATTATTATTATTATTATTATTATTATCATCATCATCATCATCATCATCATTATTATTATTCCCCCCCCCCCTTCGCCAGCAAGTGACAGTTTAGAATTCAATTTAAAAGCTATTACACCAATTAAAAACTAAGAATTGAAAACAGTTAAAGCAGATTACAGTCACGGGAATAGGGTGGGCCCTGAAAAAAAGACATCACAGACAATTCCCACAAACCTGATTCACCAGAGGAGGCAGTCCATTCCTCAATGCCTACTCAGCAGTGCACTGAGCAAAAAGTCATGGAGAGAAGTACTTGCCTTCAGGCCAGGGCACTATCCTCTTAAAAAGTCACACTCCTCAGGAAGAGTGCCTAGAAAGGGATTATCTGGACTTTAGAAAGAAGAAGAAAAGAGTTTGGATTTGATATCCCGCTTTATCACTAAGGGTCTCCGCTTTGAGACCCTAAGGAGTCTTAAAGCGGTTAACATTCTCCTTTCTCTTCCTCCCCCACAACAAACACTCTGTGAGGTGAGTGGGGCTGAGAGACTTCAGAGAAGTGTGACTAGCCCAAGGTCACCCAGCAGCTGAATGTGGAGGAGTGGAGACGCAAACCCGGTTCATCAGATTACGAGACTACCGCTCTTAACCACCACACCATACTGGCTCTCAACCTCCAGAGTTTGTTAGAGCAAGCTATGCACTCAGAGCTAGTACTCTGCCAAAATGTTCTGCATTTCCCCAATTCCTAAACATTATCCACCAATTAATAAGAATTTCATTTGAATTAATAAGAATTGCTTTAAAAAAATATCAAAGAGAGAGAAAAAATCAGTAATATTCTCACAGATAGGGGGTGAGGTTTGTGTGTGTGTGCTTGCCTCACAAAGCCAAAGGTATCCTTCTGTTCTACAAATCACCTCACTAGTGGTCTGCACTCTGCAGCTTGAATTGAAACCCAAGGGAAGACAGCATGAGGTAACTCCTCCCATGGGACTTTCTCAGATCAGGAAGTATATGAAGCCTGAGAAACTGCAGAGTGCTTGAGAATTTTTTTACTGGAAATACAAAAATCTCCCTCAACCATCTCACAAGGATGGGGTAAGCTCAGAACCAATACTCACTTTAAAGAAATTCTAATGAGCCTTGAAAAGGGCCAAATACGCACACACAAATCCCAGAAGCTCCTTTCTCTGGGGAAGAAAACTTTTTTTAAAGAAACCAGGAAGAAATAGCTTTGGCACAGCTCCTCTGAGCTCTCTGAGGTGCTGAGACACTGTCTGCCTTGCTCCTTTGTCATAGGGAGGGCAGGTCAGAACACTGAATGGCCAGTGGTCAAGGAGGATGGGAATTGTAGTGTAAAACATTGGGGGGCACCAAGTTGGGAAGGCTGCTGTAGAGGTCCCACACAGAATTTGGTTGTGCCTTATTCCACACCAGATTGTGCAGCCCACAGCCATCACCCTCACTATAACGTATCTTTGTCAGGATGAAATCCCATACGTTTCACCAAACCCACCATTATTACTATTATTATGTGTCATGTGTTGCTGGGGGGCAGGGAGGGCAAGGAATAGCAGGAGTCTGTGATTGTGAAAGGGCAGAGATTCCCAACTTGGTGGTTTTGCTGGCTCACTAAATGAAACAGCTATGCTCAACTGGTGAGACAAAGGGTGCTTTGATGTGTTTCTGTTTGTATTGGAAGGAGAGTGTACAGAATGAAAAATTGATTAGGTGGTTTGGGGTAGCATGTAAGTAAAAAGCAAAGACGGGTCGGAGGGGGGAAGTCCCAAAGTACTGAGGATGGAATTTCTCTCAGTCATCCCAGGAGATACCACACAATCCATTTTGCTTTAACATTTCACCATCAAACCATTGTGGAGGCTCGAAATAGCAAAATCTCTCTGTCAACAAAGATCAGAGCTGACATAAAATATAGCATGTGGTTACGGTAACAAAACTCCATAATGACTCAAACCTACTTGATCTCTGCACAAGAATGTCAAAGCGGAAATCCACCATTTCTGCCTTATAATTGAATTACAAAAGACATGCTAAGCATTACATCGCCCCTATGGAATTTATGTTACAACACAAGAGGGTTCATTTTTCTAGTTTGTGTGGGCAGCAGCAGATTTTGTTTTAAAGGGGAAATATTTGTGCTAATTACCATGATACACTTGATTGCTTTGTTATTCAGGTTGCTTTTCTCTGCTGAGGTAGTTCTTCTGAAGTACCATTGAGATCTTCGCTCATTCTCCATTTCTGGATACTGACAGCCATTCTGCAACAGAATCACACAGTACTGTTTTATTAATATTTTATTTAGAGCATTTGTACTCCGCCAGAGGCAGATTTAGGGGAGCACAATTGGTTCAGTCGCACTAGGAGCAGGCCATAGGAGTCAACTCCTAAGGACTGAGGTCCCTTTGCCTCCTCCCCATAAAATATTTGAAAGGGCTGCCCCCTAGTTGATGGGTCTTGCCACTCAAATAGTGTGTGTGTGTGTGTGCTGTGTCATATGATCAGTTATGCAGGGCGGGGCTTACATGGGCCTCCCCAATTTTTTTATGCAAGTTGGCACCCCTGGAGTGGAGCCTCAGGGGTGCTGCAAGGGGCTCCATAACTATTATGTAAAATGGAAAGCATGAGGCAGAGTCACCAAATTTTGGTGTTACATAGGTCGCCACTGAAATTTGAGACCCCACTGTCTCCACTCTTCAGCCAAAAAGGCTCCCAGAGCAGCTTGCCTACAATCAAAACCAGGCAATCCTTGCCTGCAGGCTAACAACATCAAAGTTTTAGGTAATTCAGTACCTCCCCTAAAA